AGCAGAAGGTGTGTGGCGCTTGTTCACCAGTGGTGTAGAGCACTCCAGTGTGCAGACTGGCCTGCTTGTGTGAGCCTCCAAAATGCACAGATTGTATTTCTTAGCTGTACTTACATGAGTAATTTTCGCTAAAATCTATATGCAAGAGGGACTCATTGTGCTTCAGACTCCTCCTGAGCTCCCTGTAGGCATCAAACTGCCATTTAATGTTGAAGACATGGCTCCTAAAATGGAGAAGCCTCTCCTGGAAATCTGTGTTAAGCTCATGCTCTGTTGTTGTTATCTCCCTTTTCACTGTTATTGTTGACACCTTCTCATCCATCTTGATCTTCTCTGTCATCCACTGAGATAAACGAACGTTCTCTTCCCCAGGGGTTTTCAGCATCGGGTGACAAGTTAGGAGGCATTCACTGCACTCACCATAAGCACAGACCTTGGCTTTCGGGTCACACATGGTTGCTTCAGACATTTCCTCAATATTTCTTGAGGACAGTAACCCTTGGCTCTGCAAGGCATTGGCATCATGCTGATTTTCAGGGGTTTCAGCAGGGGAGTTGGGTGGAGTCTCTGACTGTAGCAAAGCACTGGCCCTGTTTCTGGCTCTGGCTTGACTTTTTGCCTCTCTCCATTTCTTTCTTTTTGCCCTCTTCTCTCTCTCACTGAGCTCATTGACACCCTTCTTCTTTCCAGTCTCTCTGTCTTTTTTCCATTTGACCCTTTCTTTCTCAAGGTACTTTCTTCTTCTGTCTGGGTCAGCATCACGACGTTCCCGATATCTCCTTGCTATCTCAGCTCCTTTTGATCTCATTCCTTGAAGAAGACGATTCAAAATGTTCCCTTACACACTTTAATTGGCAGTCCCGGTAAACTAGGCTTGCATTATCAAACTAGGTTTGCTGATACCGATATCGCCAAAAAAATTGTCCATATTGTCCATTCTTACTATGTATAGCATGTACTGTTATAAAATGTGTGTAATAGCTGTTGTAATATGTGTAACATTATCAGTATGTGGCCTAAACTATGCACATGTCCTTCCTGTCATGAACCATGTCCACCCTGTCATGGAAGGCTTGCTGACAGGGTGGACAATGACAGGGTGGACATTTTTGGCTAATGTTAGCATTTAATGAGCACATGGTGGACCTTCACTTAGCAACATACTACAGTAAGCAAGCTGACTGTGTACTGTTTTACAAATATATTTCAAAGTTCTGATAGGTTTTTCTATCAATTGATATTTCACTATGACAGAGTGGACATGTTAAGCTTGACAACATCCAACTACACACATAATATGATGAAAATTATGAAACATAAGTGTAAATACTTACTCTGCAACTAGACACTGCTTCAGCCTTCATTGAAGAAAGACAAAATGCTCGTAGTGATGTCACTGAAAACATCAGTGGGTTTCTTAAAGGGGCAGTTACCCCATAATGACAGGGTGGACAGCAATTTCAGGGACACAGGCAAAATGTTCAATATGATTATGAAAATACAATATACATGATCAAAATTACTTGTTTTATCAAATAACTTATTGTGGACAGTAAAACCATGTAAAAAAAATTGGATTTAGTATCATTTAACCACTTATTACACACGCTGTAGTTAGCAGAGCAGTGTATGGGACATGCCAAAATCAAGTACATCCAATGAAAAAAATTTAATAAAATGAAGGAAACACTTTTTTAGAGACTTATCATTCTACTGATATGTGTGCAAATGTTTGGCCACTTATAATAAGACCTCAGACTTTCATTATTCTGCTACATTTTCATGATGACTGAGTGAGTCTGATGAGGACACCAAAGGCACCTCATAGTGATATTGACTCACATAGGTAATTTACTCATTTAACATTTATTTGCTAAATTATGTAATATGTCAAATCTGTTATATAAAATTATACTACAGTGTTTTTAGAAAGCTAGTATGAAAAACCCAAACAGATGTGCTTAGCTTCCACTGACAATGTTTTGGAAGGCTTCCCCATAGTAACTTTCTACCCACCTCTTTTCCACATCTGTTTCAGATATTATAACAGCAACATGCCGGTAAGTAATCATCCTGTATGAAAACCATCTGTCATTCTGTCATGTGTATACAGACGTTTGTCCAGGTCTGAAAGAGCAGGTCCCAAGACAGTGTGAAATAATGATCAGTATCCACACAACTGTTTTTAATCAATCAATACAACTTCTGCTATTTATGTTTGGCAGCAGTATTGGGTTTGGTTTGAATTGATGCCAAATATACATACTTTTTTATTTCAAATCATTTCTGTGCGTGAGGATTACGTCTGGTCTTAGTCATGATGTAATCGTCATTGTCTCGACAACCATGATACACAATAACATCTAGTCACACACCCCATGCAATCAATCACAGTCCAAAAGAGGAAACAGCTCTTTTCATTTCAAAATCTTTCCATTATCACCAATATTCATTATCTTCAATAGATTTCAATAGCAAACAATGAAACAAAAGTCCAGCAGCATCCATGCACCTCTGGTTCCCATTGACTCATAGCCACCATGCACCAGTCCAATGCCAGTTATGCTACTTACACCAATGCCAGTTATGCTACTTACAAAAAAAGACATACCAAACATTTGATTTCATAAAACATCCCCATTTAAATTCAGTCTCACTGAGTCTGTGAATCACCAGGGACTCTACAAGATTAATCACCGCTGTCTGTATGGAGTAGCATAACCTATTATTTTAAACTCTGTCACCTTGATATGTTATGCTACTCCATACAAACAGTGGTGATTAATCTTGTAGAGTCCTTGGTGATTCACAGACTCAGTGAGACTGAATTTATATGGGGATGTTTTATGAAATCAAACGTTTGGTCTGTCTTTTTTTGCTCAACTTCCTGGATTCAGTATGTGTTATGCTTGGAGTTGGACACAAAATAGCAGGAGTGAAAAGTTCCATGTCGGCTGTTCTGGGGTGAGGTTAGAAAACGGAGGTTGCCAAAGGTTGCCATGGTGATTGTGTAGCTTTTTGCCATGTCCAATTTGTGAGTGAATCAAACTACGCTTTAATGAGTTACTAGAATAAAAAATCATGGTAGTGTTTGCCCAAACTTCCCAACATGAAAACTATGGCCAACAAGAGAGTTGTAGCAGGCCTAATCATTGTAGCCTGGTCCCAGATCTGTTAATGCGGTCTTGCCAACCCCTATGGTAAACATGTTTTGGGACCAGGTTATGTTGACCTTGTATGAACCCTTTCTGGATGTGGTCTGACTGCGTGCTTCTCAAATGTTTGCAGAATGTTTGCTTATTTTACATCAACAGTGCTGCAGTGACACAACCAGAGAGGATTATTTGGTTGTGTATGTTTGTCAGATGAAAATAAACTATTGTGACGTATTCAGTCGGGGGCTGCGTTGCCGATATTATGCTTTTGTAACACACTCTATACTACGCATGAGAACATATCCTCGTCTTCTATGACTGACCCATGTCACTGGTGGTAAGTTTTCCCTTTCATGGCCCTGGCAAGTTGTGTCTTGACTCTGTAGTCATTATTGTCATATTGTGCAGGTATCTCATAGCAACATGAAGGAAATATATAACAAGCCTTAACAAGATATTGACATAACTTAACTTCTGCATTCGCCACCGAGCATGCTGTACAGATGCCTTTGTTCAGCTTTACACCCCAGGCTGATTTTGTATCAGAATCCATTACCCCTATTATAAAGCATTCAGGGTTCAAACTTATCCCAGCTCTACTTGCAATCACTGTTTTTTAAACTATTGTTTTTGACGCTTTCGCCACCTAGTGGAGGGGTTCATGGGAGAGGGTTGGATTCTCTGCTCATGCAATACATTCACTTGTCTTTGTGGGCACTCCTAGGGCCCCTATGATGAAAAGTGGAACATTCCTGAACTGTGCGGGCTGTTTGGATTTCTGGTCTGGCTATGAGGTCAGAGAGAGGGGGGTGCAGCGTCATTTCCCATATTCCCCTCATTGGGAGTGTCTTTCCACTGCTGAGTAACACATACCCAGTATGTCACCTTCACTTTTTCACGGCAGAAGGGGTGACAAAGTAAAAAATTGGGAAATTCCCTTAAAACATCACAGTGCTTTCAATTAGATTTCTATATCCTGCATTCCTGAACTTTCTTATCTTTCGCAACTCAAGAGGCATAAATCCTGTATGTGACTGAGCCAGGTACTTACTGTGTTGTAGGTGATAAAAGAGGGAGAGAGAGAGAGAGAGATAAATATTTTTTGCTTTGCATTTGTACGAAAAGCATGCCTTGAAACGGCAACTTGTAATCTAATAATAATAATAATAATAATCTACATGCCATGCCTTTGGTATCAGCCATTTCACAAAATGCATGGAATGTTCATTGATTCCCACTTGCTTATATAAACTGGGTGCAATAAAGGCCAGACAATTTCCTGTTTTCCATTCTAGATATTGCAAGTGAGACTGACGGACAAGCCTCCCCTAGCTGACCATTTCAACAGAATTTTATCTCCACCTAGTGTTGACTATTGCTCTGGTCATCTGAAATGATTGGTTTCAGATTTTATTTACCTTAATCACCTGAATCTGAACCCTAATCCCAGACTAATGAAACATGGTCCTTACGCCTATCAGAACCCAGTGACGCACAACACACACTGTAAGACCCTATAAGCCTTTAAAACCTATGGATATACGCATGCAGCCAATCTGAGGTAGTCATGTTCTTGCATAGTGTACAATAGGCCTCCATGATGTAATGTCCGCAGATTGAAGATTATGAATGGATGTGGCCCATACTGCAAAACAGTTCAATGACAATGCATGTCTTGCATATCACATACATTGAGAAAAAGTGCACATCACAAATTGACAAAAAATCATCTACACCCCTAAGCAACCCCTCTGTTGCTCTCTCCATGTCACTCTCCCACACACAGATACTTTTCTCTGAGCAGGTCTAATTCCTAAGCCTATTATACACGTCACCATAGGACTTGGGAGAGATGTCACTATGATGATATCTATAATTAATTAATGTCTAATTCCACACAGCCTTCCCCAGCTGTCTTCAGAAGAAACCCATAACTACGCATCAGCAACAACAAACCTGGTCAGGACTCTAAGGAGACTCACCTGCGGGAAGGAAGTGCAGCTAACCATACAGGTAAGCATCACTGCTGCTATCATTTAATAATTCATTAATATTGATTCTACTTGACAAAGCAGTGAAAGATGTGGTCTAATTCTCCACTGGGATTGAAGAAGATAAATTAGTAATGAAAGATTTGATCAAATCTGAAGTGATCATCCATAATGTTAGAATATACATGTGGAAAACATGCTATGCTGCTTCTGTAGAGTGAGTCAGATTTCAACATTTCAAGGTCATGTCACCAGAGCAATGTAAGACAACGTCAGGTGTCCATAATCAGAATTCATGGCAACATCATGGGAACCACTGAAATGTTTTGCTTGTGCATGTACTGTATACATAAAGACTATTCTGTAACTTACTGTAGGACAACACAAACTTGGGGGACAAATGAGGGACAGTGCCTACAGTACTGGGAGTTTACCTTGGACACAATGATGACGTACAAGACAAACCAAAATACACTGAACAAAAATATAAACGCAACAATTACAGTTCATATAAGGAAATCAGTCAATTGAAATGAATTCATTAGGCCCTAATCTATTGATTTCACATGACTCGGAATACAGATATGCCTCTGTTGGTCACAGATACCTTTAATAAAGGTAGGGGCATGGATCAGAAAACCAGTCAGTATCTGGTGTGACCACCATTTGCCTCATGCAGCGCGACACATCTCCTTCGCATAGAGTTGATCAGGCTGTTGATTGTGGCCTGTGGAATGTTGTCTCACTCCTTTTCAATGGCTGTGAGAAGTTGCTGGATATTGGCAGGAACTGGAACATGCTGTCGTACGCGTCGATCCAGAGCATCCCAAACATGCTCAATGGGTGAAATGTCTGGTGAGTATGTAGGCCATAGAAGAACAGGGACATTTTCAGCTTCCAGGACTTTGTACAGATCCTTGCGACATGGGGCTGTGCATTATCATGCTGAAACATGAGGTGATGGCGGCGGATGAATGGCACGACAATGGGCCTCAAATTGCCATCAATAAAATGCAATTGTGTTCGTTGTCCGTAGCATATGCCTGCCCATACCATAACCCCAACGCCACCATGGGGGCACTCTGTTCACAATGTTGATATCAGCAAACCACTCGCCCACACAACACCATACACGCTGTCTGCAATCTGCCCGGTACAGTTGAAACCCGGGATTCATCCATGAAGAGCACACTTCTCCAGCGTGACAGCGACCATCGAAGGTGAGCATTTGCCCACTGAAGTCGGTTACAACTACAGTCAGGTCAAGACGACGAGCACACAGATGAGCTTCCCTGAGACGGTTTATGACAGTTGGCTGGTCTCAGACGATCCCGCAGGTGAAGAAGCCGGATGTGTAGGTCCTGGGCTGGGCGTGGTTACACGTGGTCTGTGGTTGTTTGGCCGGTTGGACGTAGTGCCAAATCCTCTAAAACGACATTGGAGGCGGCTTATGGTAGAGAAATTAATATTAAATTCTCTGGCAACCGCTCTGGATGACATTCCTGCAGCATTGTGTTGTGTGAAAAAACTATTGTATTATCATCAAGGTTAAGGTTTTATTTTTAGCTGTTTAGAAATTATGGAGTTCATTCTGTATTACGGTGGCCCTAAGGGCCAAAGTAGCTTTTCAAATTGAGTGACAGCGCGCACAGAAAGCCAATGAGGAAGGTTTCCGGTTAAACAGATGTTGTATTGTAGTTGCTGTAATGTTGAAGAGGGAGAAGGAGAGATTTTGGGGTTTCTGTGGGTTCACATTGTCATCTTTTTGTCCCAGCTGTCTTACACACGTAGGCCCACTAAGACCCATGCATTAACACGGTCTTAGAAAATCCTAAGTATTAGACCTAATCATAATCTGATAATACTGCATCAACCTGGATCCCTCTGAATGTCTCTGACAGTCACAACATGCTGCAGTGTACAGCACACAACCCAGACACCGATGAACCAATGCAATGCTACAGTTTTGTTACAAGCCAGTCTCTTTGGCGAAATGGTGATAAGAAAATGGTTTTCATTGATAATCTTTATGGTTTTGTCTCTTCATTCATTAAGTTCAGTATGTCAAGCTCAACACCAGCTGAAGATGAGGTGCCAGCAATTCAAACAGGTGACACGTCATCAACTATCAACCCTTTTAGTAAACTCTTTATTAAGCCCACTGTTTATCATCCAAACTTCAATTGAAATGAGAGTGAAGTCTGTATAAACTCTCTTTCTGATGCACAGACCTTTCTCTGTAAACCTCTGTTCTTGTTTTAACCTGTTGATCGACCCCTCTCAATCCATAGAATTACATATAGAACACTAGAATGGACATTGACGTTTGTAATGTTTCCTGGCCAAAATGGCTGCCGTTATCAGCACATTCTAGAGATGTAGTTAAATGACATCAGCCTCTCTAGCGTATTATACATGTCTCAATTCCTGTACAAGGCCCCAAAGGTGTGATTAATGACTGGAGGAAGTTCAAGTGTGAGGACCAGGACACCCCTCCCAGCAAGAAGGAGCTCCTCAGACAGATATCCAACCCCCAGAGCGACGACATCCACGACAGACTCAACCGGAAGGTCAGTCAGCGTTCAAACACAACCACACGGTCAGACAATAAGAGACTCGACCACAGAGGGAGGCACAAGTCTAGCAAACTCTTGAGAATCAAGATGTGTTTACTTGACCTATTTTAACCCATAGAAATAAAACGACTAGAAGGGAGATTTCCATTCAAGTCAATTCTACTTCTATGTTTCAGCCCCCATACATAATACATAAGCCTTGACTCAGCTCCTATCATAACTTTTTCTTAACAGATGAGTGTCCAGGAGTACGAGATGATCGCAGAGGAGGATGAGAAGTGCCTGCGCAAGTACCGCAAGCAGTGCATGAAGGAGATGCACGAGCGCTTCAGCTTTGGGCCTACGTTTGACAGCGTGGTGGAGCTGGACAACGGCGAGTCCTTCCTGGAGGTCATTGAGAATGAGCACCGGCTCACCCTGGTGGTCGTCCACATCTACAAGGACGGGGTCAAAGGTTGCGAGGCGCTCAACTCCTGCCTGGACTGCCTGGCCACTGAGTACCCCAGTGTCAAGTTCTGCCGCATCCGGGCGGCCGCAACGGGCGCCGGCGAGCGCTTCTCAGACGACGTGCTGCCCACCATGCTGGTTTACAAGGCAGGGGAGCTGCTAGGGAACTTCCTGTCCATGACACAGCACCTCAGCGAGGAGTTCTTCGCCACCGATATCGAGGCGTTCCTCAATGAGTACGGCCTCCTGCCCGAGAAGGAGTTTGCGGCCTGTCCTGAGGAGGAGGCAGGTGTGGAGGTGGAGTAAGGGTTTTTTATAGGGAGTCAGTGACAGAGTGCACATTTCTGGACCCATTAGCCTACTAGGCTATTGTAAATGCAATATTTTTAACAGCCTCCAGTCAGCTTCAGTTTATCACAGGCAGTGTCCATTAACATGATTTCAGACAGACATTATTAGCTCAATATGTGTATCATTATAAAATGCTTTTCTTTCTTTTTGTTTTAACCATTGTATTGGTGTATGATTGATAAGTATATGACATTGCAATCTTTGTAAAAGGTTGTATTGGCGTCACAATATATGATCCTGCGGTTGGAGTAATGAACCCCATTTTATGGCTTGGGCTTGTTTATCACTATTGACCCAATGTCATCGCATTTTATGCTATATTTTCATGATGTTTGAAATCAAAAGGGTTAAAGTGATAACCCCCAGTCACTCATTAAAAGCAGAATTTCCCCATGGAAGTGGTGGTTGGTTTCTCTGTCTAATTGTTTTAACACTATTAACTAACAGCATTTAACATGAATAGAACACACACCAAAAGTTAGTTACTTTGAATGGACTTCTTTATTCTGGTCAATTATGTCATAGATGAATCCATAAAATACAGGCCTGAACCATCCTTTGGGAGGATCAAAGCATAAAATATGCCCATCATACCAAGCATAACCATACAAGACCATACTGTAGGCCTAAGTAATTGCAAAATACTATATTGAATACAGACGCTCTAAGCTCTTCTGATGCATATCCGTTGTGCCAGCAATGTGGGTGAGGAGAGGTCCGATACACGTGGGTGGCCTGAGGCACGAGGCAATATGTGAGGACAGAGCGGAAGGTTTATGGTTGGCACACATCAGAATATCTGATGATGACTGAATGAACTGAACAACAATTAGAGGGTCCATTTTCCCCATATGGAGGGAATTTTGAATATATGCCATTGGACATACACTTACTGCAAGACATTACATAATACGCTATACACACGTTTCTCTGTGTAACCTTTTACAACTGAAACAATCAATCAAAACAAATTGTTTACAATTCTGCTTTACAATTCATATGAAAATAAATGTTGAATTATCAATAGAAAACATACAGTTTGCATTTGCTTTTATAATAACCATGTCAACTCAATTTCATGAAAATAAAATCAAGCGATTAAGACCCTCCGCATAGCAACCAGCTCTTGTAGTGTGTGTATGTATCCTGTGCATCCACCATTAGTCGCTCAGGTAGAGCAGCGAGGTGCCTGTGGCTAGGACAGCGACTGCGGCTGCCATGGCAACACCTACACAATGACACAATGGTATCCGGGTGAGTCAAGAGAACGCTATGCTACATACCTGATGCTGAGTCATAGTTTGGGTTAGGAATGTGTCACGAGAGGTGGTAAATGGTTCACATAATAGGCACAAAGCTATCGACACATCCTGTACATGCCTTTACATATGATAGAGCCAGGAGTTTTTCCTGATCATTGTACCTTCTGATTTCTGATGAAATGGCTGTTTGAAGAGAGTATTTAAAAGGACATACCAGCGTAATACGTTTTGTGGCTTTTGGGGGCTTCAGTGGGCTCTTCAGAGGGTGTCTTAGGACGAGCGTCAACAGTAGATTCAGCCTTCAGGTTCTTCTGAACAACCATGTTCTTTAGGTCAATCGTAGGAGCTTCAGAATATTAGACATTTTCACCATACAATGTCAACCTTACACTCAATTGAAGACAAATAGTAGTATGGAAAGTATAGAAAATGTAGATTCAAAACTCAGTTCAGGAAGCTAAAATAATCCATATAATATAACCGCTTAACCAACATACCAAGAAAATAGCATTTGTTTGAGGAATAATAATTATGAGTAATGACAATCATAAACTATGGGTCTTTCCTCACATGCATGACCAAATGGAAACAGTTGACAATGAGGTTTCCCCACAACATTGTGTGTCCTGGTGGGGAATTATGTTTGGTCATGCAGGTGAGTAAAGAAATATACATTCTTTCAGTGTGATTGTATGCATCTCAGGCTAGTGATTGCAACCCTGTTTCCTGTTGGAATACCTGTTTCATTCCTCATAGGGAGTAACTAACACTTACACAATGGGCTTTACTGACTCAAACCAGGTCACTGAAAGATTACAGTTGATACTGTAGTAGTCTACAGTTATGGCATCCTGCTACATTGACCCCTGGTTATTATGATAAACCACCTGGGACAGTCTCCTGGGAGGTGTCTATGCTGTCCTCGGGCGTCTCCCAGTCCAGCATCTCTTTGAGACGGTCACTCACATCGGACACACTCTCGTCAGGGAACATGTAGTCACACACACACAGGCTCATGCCGGGCACGGGGGCAAACACTCTGCGAGGGAGCACCTGCTGTACACCGACTGACCCTGCCGAAGAGAGGAGAGCAGAAAATCACTATGTACACTTAGCTAAAGATTTGATAGGAATAACTATGAGTCATTGTCATGCAGGAGAACAAGTGGGACAGCGAGTATGGCGACAACCAGTGAGTGGTCAACATTGCCACCTTGTGGTTGCTCTGCATAGCTTGCTAAGCACACTGACAGCACTGCAGTTCAGTTCTGTAATATTAACGATATTTCTCTAAACCCCAATGCTAAAGTATAGAACTAATACTGTGCCTTTGTCCTCTCCCTCCATTAAAATATCTTCCAGGAACATCTCCACTCTGCTAGACACCGTGTTGATGACATCTCTCTTGATGACCTATCAGGACAAGGCATGAGAAAAATGTGAAAGATCAAATGTATACGTATTTCCAATTAACCTTCAGTTGGTAAGAGCTGGATGGTGTGCAAGTTCTGGTTTAGAGAACGTTCTGGTTGCCAATGTACTGTATGTGTGTGTGTGTGTGTGTGTGTTTTGCAGTACCTCTGTAGCGTGCTTGGCTCTTGGTTTGTTGCTGTGGAGGTAGGCCCTGCAGTGCACCATTCCCGTCAGGGTGAGAGACCCACTGCACACCTTCACAGACGCTGTCGACCTCTGCTCTGACTGGGGGTCCGCCTGAGGGACAGATGACCGGACATTATATACAGTGAGGGAAAAAAGTATTTGATCCCCTGCTGATTTTGTACGTTTGCCCACTGACATTTACATTTACGTCATTTAGCAGACGCTCTTATCCAGAGCGACTTACAAATTGGTCCATTCACCTTATAGCCAGTGGGATATAGCCAGATATTATTTTGATTTTTTTTTGGGGGGGGGGGGGGGGGGTAAGCGGGGCAATGAAATGATCCGTCTATAATTTTAATGGTAGGTTTATTTGAACAGTGAGAGACAGAATAACAACAAAACAATCCAGAAAAACGCATGTCAAAAATGTTATAAATTGATTTGCATTTTAATGAGGGAAATAAGTATTTGACCCCCTCTCAATCAGAAAGATTTCTAGCTCCCAGGTGTCTTTTATACAGGTAACGAGCTGAGATTAGGAGCACACTCTTAAAGGGAGTGCTCCTAATCTCAGTTTGTTACCTGTATAAAAGACACCTGTCCACAGAAGCGATCAATCAGATTCCAAACTCTCCACCATGGCCAAGACCAAAGAGCTCTCCAAGGATGTCAGGGACAAGATTGTAGACCTACAGAAGGCTGGAATGGGCTACAAGACCATCGCCAAGCAGCTTGGTGAGAAGGTGACAACAGTTGGTGCAATTATTCGCAAATGGAAGAAACACAAAATAACTGTCAATCTCCCTCGGCCTGGGGCTCCATGCAAGATCTCACCTCGTGGAGTTGCAATGATCATGAGAACGGCGAGGAATCAGCCCAGAACTACACAGGAGGATCTTGTCAATGATCTCAAGGCAGCTGGGACCATAGTCACCAAGAAAACAATTGGTAACACACTACGCCGTGAAGGACTGAAATCCTGCAGCGCCCGCAAGGTCCCCCTGCTCAAGAAAGCACATATACAGGCCCCTCTGAAGATTGCCAATGAACATCTGAATGATTCAGAGGAGAACTGGGTGAAAGTGTTGTGGTCAGATGAGACCAAAATCAAGCTCTTTGGCATCAACTCAACTTGCCGTGTTTGGAGGAGGAGGAATGCTGCCTATGACCCCAAGAACACCATCCCCACCGTCAAACATGGAGGTGGAAACATTATGCTTTGGGGGTGTTTTTCTGCTAAGGGGACAGGATAACGTCACCGCATCAAAGGGACGATGGACGGGGCCATGTACCGTCAAATCTTGGGTGAGAACCTCCTTCCCTCAGCCAGGGCATTGAAAATGGACCATGGATGGGTATTCCAGCATGACAATGACCCAAAACACACGGACAAGGCAACAAAGGAGTGGCTCAAGAAGAAGCACATTAAGGTCCTGGAGTGGCCTAGCAAGTCTCCAGACCTTAATCCCATAGAAAATCTGTGGAGGGAGCTGAAGGTTCGAGTAGCCAAACGTCAGGTTCGAAACCTTAATGACTTGGAGAAGATCTGCAAAGAGGAGTGGGACAAAATCCCTCCTGAGATGTGTGCAAACCTGGTGGCCAACTACAAGAAACGTCTGACCTCTGTGATTGCCAACAAGGGTTTTGCCACCAAGTACTAAGTCATGTTTTGCAGAGGGATCAAATACTTATTTCCCTCATTAAAATGAAAATCAATTCATAACATTTTTGACATGCGTCTCTCTGGAATTTTTTGTTGTTATTCTGTCTCTCACTGTTCAAATAAACCTACCATTAAAATTATAGACTGATCATGTCTTTGTCAGTGGGCAAACGTACAAAATCAGCAGGGGATCAAATACTTTTTTCCCTCACTGTACACACCATAGAAATAGAATGGGCTTGGAACCTCTAACCCTGGCAATTTGACTGGTAAACTAATGGATACACTCACAATGGCTGCCTGGTATTGTGATGTAATCATTTCCATTGTAATTTGGAATGTTCTATCAACTGATGCTGGATTGCCATGGTAATGAAGAACGCTCATTCAAATGATGCAAACTGATGTGGCTCATGCAATGTAATGTATTTTTTGTAATGTCAGTTGAGTTGACTCAACAAATCACAGCACAGTTTGAAGGGTACACTTCCTGCTTTTACTTCCTACGTTGCTCCTATGGGTACACTCGCAATGGCTGCCAGTCCAACCATTATGTCATAATTGACTTGAATGGGCACGTCTGTTCTTTTCATTCTATGATACACATACACGAAATTAGGCACACACTCACAAAAGCATAACACACACACAAACGCACACAAATCAACTTCAGCAGGGAAAAACTCTGAGCCCTAGCTATAGGCTACAAAAAATTCCCTACTAATGATATTCTTACCATCGGGATGAGGATCTGGGCTCGGAACGTCTGCTGAACAGCCTTTGCATTCTTTTTCTGAACAGAAAACACAGACTTCTTAAAAGCAGTAATCGATTTCTATTAACTACATTGTGCCACCAAAAGGAACGCTGTGTTTACCTGCCCTGCCAGTAGCTCCACCTCACCAGGCATTGTTTTGCCATTGATGAGGCAAAGCCCATCTTCGATCTGCTTCGCCCATGTTTGAAGTCCCTCCTGAAAACACACAAACAAATTATTAGTTCCACTAGAACTGACATTTCAATCTACTGTCCTGTTTGAGAACGTCAAAAGGTCAAAGTGAGCTCTGCTAAAGAGGACCTCACCAGGCATTCCCTAAAATGTACTGTTATTAATCTCTCACACAGTGAGGTAATGCTGACAAGCTTAAGGGTGTTATAAGCATTCCTATGGAGCTTCATAAGGGTGCTATAACAATACATTTACAGGTAATAATATCCAATATAACCCACTCACCTTCATACACTTTTCCATGTCCTGTGGTAAGACATGCAGCTCTAACACAGGGAACACCAGGTCCAGTCCCACTGAGCATGTCAACACTGGCCAGGAAGTACACACACCCGACTGGTACTTCCAATCAGCAGGCTTGGCAGAACTCTGAAATCACCAACCAGAATGCAGTTAAGACTTGTAGTATTTTTCAAGGCTGAATATGAATACAGAAAAGAACAAGTACAGGAGACTTCACCACTTTAAAAAGGCCATACTGTCACACCTATGAACTCACCTTGGGATCTCGAACATCAAATGTTCTGCAAACCACTCTGAGAGTATGGAGTTAAAGACATTTTCCAATGCTAAGGATTCGCCTTGTATTAAGCACACCACACAATTCGGCAAAGATGTCATCACATTTACTACGGACTATAGCGAAACCATTGTTCATCATTTATTGTCTTTGGGCAGCAAACCGATTATGCAATTGAGACCAATTTGACCTATCAGTTGGAGCAGTTAAGGATACTTCCTGGTTTTGGAGCAGATGTGAAGTGTGACCTTCTCTGTTACATCCTCCTCTGTGAGACTCCATAGCCGTCCCTTGGATATGTGCTTGTCCACTGCAAAGATCAACTGCAAAAGACACACTAGTTTAGAGGCCCACTTTCTATCAATGCAGTTACTGTTATTAATATGTATGATCTCTATACAAAGTAATACAAACATTATTGCCTCAGCTTTAGTTTATGTGTTGCTTACCCGTCTCAATGTATTTTGAGCCTCTTTGGACAGCTCAGGTGGGGTGACAAGAAACACACCAATAACTGACAAACCTCCCGGTAACATCCGGGAAACCTTCAGAAAACATACATTATTACATTATGACAGAGTGAGATTGAGATACAAGTGATAAAACTGTGTCATGTTATGTGAACCAACTGTAAGACCTAACATTTTCATTTTAAAAGTTGAATTATTATTCTTATTATTAAATATAAAATGCACTATTATCCTTATCTACCTGTCTGGCATGCTCAGTGACCCACTCCACATCTAGGTGGTCCAGTGAGTTCCCAGCTCTCCTGCTGACAGACGGAGACCCCTGTCCCGCTGCGTCCTTCTGAGGCGTCCTCACAGCCAGCACCACAAAGTCTCTCTGGGATGAACTCTGCCAAACGAGACAAGAATGTCCTACTTAGGACCAGGAGTTTTTCCTAGTCACGTGACCTGAATAGCAAAAACTCAGGGCTCTCTGGAAAAAGTACCCTATTTTTTGGTCAAATCGGGTTGTTAAGGAAAACACCTGGGTAGTTCTATATCGTGGAGCTCCGCCCCATAGGGGAGCTCTGCTCCTAGTGGTTTACCCTCTGCCCTACGGCAGAAACAGCCTGAAGCAAAATTATGCACACACCTGCAGCCAATGGGAGCACAGGTGCCCCTATAAGAAGGGACCCGTTCCCTCAATCTGCCTCCCATTTATCTTCAGCGACTGGACTAGAACTGAAGAAGCCAAGAAGTATTGAAGACTCAGGAAGAACTCGCCGTTGATATCCAGCCATCGACGTCTTCCAGCATGAGCACACCGGGAAATTTTCCACCCCCAAAAGCCCTTTTCAGGGCTCTATGTCGATGTACTGACATGGCGCCTACGGACCCCCACGACCTTTGTTTCGTGTGTTTGGGACCGCAGCACGCCAAGGAAGGTCTCGACGACCCCCCTAACTGCGCCTCCTGCGCCCTCCTTCCTATGAAGGGGAGGAAGCAGCGCTGGGCGTTCTTTAGGGAGGACATCCCCCTAGAGGATGTACTGTCCATTCTCGCCTCTGCTTCAGAGGCGTCATCAGACAGTGCTGGCTCGGGGGACGACAAGGAGGGAGGCACAGAGATGGATATCCCAGTGGGACAATCCGGAGCTCTGGCGCCGACGTTCAAGACCCCCTTCCCTATGGGGAGCGCGAGGTCTGAGGGCTCCTTGGGCGATGACGACACGGGCTCTGTTAGGTCAGAAGCCCTGTCCTTCGCAGCGGCCTCTCTGCGTTCGGACTTTCCCGAACTCATTGAGAAGGCCGCCAATCGACTGGAGATAGCGCTGCCTCCAGCTCCCCTCCCTGTGGAGGTGGACCTGATGGAGGGCGGCCCCTACTCCAAGCCAAGGAAGGCGGCTGAGCCGATGGCTCCAGCCATGCCTTCCCTTGGCAAATATGTCGAGGGCTCATGGGATTCACCTCTGGCGGCGCGTTCGCCGGCCAGAGCGTATATCCCATTTACCAGAGTGGCTGGTCATGAGTGGGCAGCTAGGGGAATCCCTAGGCTCGAGAGCGCCATGGCGGCGTATCTGGTGCCGGGTTCGAGTCCCTGGGCAGCCTCCAAGAAGGCCACCTTACCGGCGCAAAAGGACAGGCTTACAGCACAGCTGGCCGAGAAATCCTTCACGCTGGGAGCTCAGGGCGTGTCAGCGGCGAACAACATCGCCCTCCTCGCGGCCTCCCTATCCCGTCTTACAACGGGTAGGTCAGAGTTGACTGACGAGGAAATAGAGGAGGCGTCCAGAATTTCTGGAGCCATCCTTCACCTGACACAAGCCTCGGCGATATGCGCAGGCAGAGCCATGGCCACCTCGGTGGTCATAGAGCGTCACCTTTGGCTATCAATGACAGCCATGAAGGAAGCTGACAGAGCCTCGCTCCTTAACGCTCCAGTCTCCAGCGAGGGCCTATTTGGGGTCGCTGTTAAGGAGGCAACAGAGCGGTTCACCAAGATGGACGAGGAGAGGAAGCACCTAGCCAAGCATCTGCCGCTGGCGATGAAGGCTAGCAGGGCCCCAGCTATTCCGTCCACCTCCAACGCCCCCAGTAGATCTACGGGGAGGCGACGGGCCAGGCGACAAGCGTCCACCACAGGCAGCAAGCGAGCGGGCTCGGCCCCTCCGGCGGCGACAGTGGTAGCGACGGCTCCGCCGGCGAGGGAGGTCACCGTCAAGCCGACCTGGCAGCACCAGAAGGTCTCCCAGAAGAGGCGGCACCAATGACGAGGCGAGGGGGAGAGGACGGATGACGGCTCGGCGCAAGACGCAATTGAGCCCACTGTTCCCCCCCACCCCACTGTTCAGGGCGTGGAGGGAGTGTTTTGTGATTATGTGAATAAAGAGCTGGTTCTCACTGACATTGTCAAAGAAGGACATTTCTTCCATAACGCACTACAGAACACTTCACGTTCTATAATTTTCTCTCACCATCCTGAGTGTAGCTCAACCCACCAAGAGTGCGTAGTTGAGCACACTCAGGAGAGGAAAGGGAAAAAGGTAGCAAGGCGCAGCCTTAGCTCACCTGATAAGGACCTTTTACTACAGACTCCTAGGAGCTCTGTAGTAAAGGTCTCACACAGCAGGCAGCAGTCTCTGTCCCAATGTGACATGAAGACGCAGCCGCTAGCTGGGAATGACGCCTTGCTGCAGGCTAATGCCTCAGCCAGCGCAGATCAGACCCATGCGACGTTCAAGGAGGGCGGGAATACTAGAGTTAAAAGTGTAACCAATGTATGGACGCCCCCAGTGTATTCAGAACGTATCAATGCCCATGGCTCTGAGTGCAGCTCACCACACATAGAGTGTGCTGCTGAGCAGCCGCATGAGACCAGTGAAGAGGTATTGTGGCACCACCTTGTGGTACCAGTCAGAGATCACACCTTTCAGACTCTGTTGAGTACTGCAGTGGATGGGTCTCATGGCAAGCAGCAGTCTCAGTCAGACAATGACATGATGACGCAATTGCTATCCGGGGAGGGCACTCTGTCTCAGGTTAATGCCTCAGCCAGTGCAGTTCAGAACCGTGCTGCGTTCACGGAGGGCCGGATTACTGGAGTTACGGTCGTAACTAACGTATCAAGGCCTCCGATTCACTCAGAACGAGCTGATGTTTCCTCTCCCTTTCGAGGGGGGCCCGCCTTGGGCTATTCCACCAACCCAGTGTTGGGGAATAGCGGCGGCGAGGGCCATAGAGGAATACAGGTCCTTCCTACTGGACGCACCACAGCTTCGTGCGCGCCCGCTTTCTCTGCATTGCTGGCAGTGGCAACGAAGCTGTACCCTCTCACGCTGGCTAGAACAGACGTTGCAGAAGGGTTATGCCCTCCAATTCCATCGGACGCCACCCCCGTTCAGGGGAGTGGTGGAGACGGTGATGAAAACGCCGGACAAAGTAGCCGCTCTGATGTCAGAGATTACGGAACTTTTGGCGAAGGAGGCGGTCACAGTAGTTCCCCGAGAGCAAAGGAACAAAGGGCTGTATTCGCCTTATTTCCTAGTGCCCAAAAAGACGGGGGGAGTGAGGCCGATTTTGGATTTACGCACTCTCAACGAGAGCATAACCAAACGGCCCTTCCGAATGCTGACGACAAAACGTCTACTGGAATGTGTCCAGAAAGGGGACTTTTGTACAAGCATAGACCTAAAGGACGCGTACTTCCATGTGCCGATACAATCGCGCCACAGGAAGTTTCTGCGGATCGCCTTTCAAGGGGTGGCGTACGAGTTCACGAGGATGCCATTCGGGTACGCCCTGGCACCTCGAACGTTTTCCAAATGTGTGGAGGCGGCATTGGAGCCGCTGCGCCGTCAAGGGATAAGGCTACTAGCCTACCTAGACGACCTGCTGGTTCTCGCCCCGTCAGCAGAGCTGGCGTTCACTCACACGACACAGACAGTGATTCATCTCACGCGTCTGGGGTTCGCTGTGAATTGGAAAAAGAGCGCACCCTGGCCCAGTCATCAGATTGTCTACCTGGGACTACAGCTAGACACTGTATTGATGAGGGCTCGAATATCGGACCCTCGAAGGGCAGCATTGTTGCTAGCCCTGAGGAGGTGTCGTCCGAATCACACAGTAACGGCGCTATCGATCATGTCACTTTTGGGTCTCATGTCGTCAGCCCACTCTGTGGTCCCGCTGGGACTTCTGCACATGCGCAGAATACAGCGGTGGTTCGCCCAACTAAGACTAGACCCAGTGCGTCAACGTCATCGGTTGGTGGTGGTTCCTCTCTCGCTAAGAGCAGACCTGGACTATTGGAGAAACTCGAGCGTTCTCACGCACGGAGTTCCGATGGGCAAGGTGTCATCCTACATTCCAGTGTTTACAGATGCCTCTCTGACTGGATGGGGAGGGACATGTCAGTCTCAAGCGATAGGAGGTGCATGGCCTCAATCAGGTCGTCACATCAACCTCCTGGAGTTGGAAACGGTTCGACTGGTTCTGACCCACTTCGCGTCTACCCTTCGGGGTCGCGATGTGTTGGTCTGGTCAGACAACCGGACCACAGTGGCTCACATAAATCGCCAGGGAGGGGTCAGGTCTCCTGCCCTCCATCGGGCGGCAGAGGAATTGTGGCTGTGGGCTCACGAGCACCTTCGCTCATTGAGAGCAGCACACATTCCGGGCTACTTGAACGTAGGGGCAGACCTCATGTCAAGAGGGGGTCCTCGAGACGACGAGTGGTGTCTGCACCCGGACATTGTTCTCCGAATTTGGGAACAATTCGGGAGAGCCGAGGTGGATCTGTTCGCGTCACGCGTGAACGCGCAGTGTCCCCTATGGTTCTCTCTGAGGGAACAGGACGAGCCACCACTGGGAAGAGACGCATTCGCGCACTACCCGTGGCTGAAAGTTCTCCTGTATGCATTCCCTCCGCTGTCTTGCATTCTCCCACTGCTAGCCAGGGTGAGGTCAGAGGAGCTGTCAGTGATACTGATAGCGCCCGATCGCCCGGGGGCTCCGTGGTTTGCGGAGATGAGTCAGATGTTGATTGCGCCACCTTGGCCAATTCCACATCGACGAGACGCGTTGACCCAGGCGGGAGGCTCGATAGGGCAGTGGCCCATAATTGGCCAACCACTGAAGGTTTGGTTCCTGAATGGGACAGGTTGAGGCGCCGTGGGTTATCTGATGCAGTGATCAGAACCATACAGGGCGCACGAGCCAGTTCCACTTCTAGGATGTATACCAGCAGATGGAACGTTTTCTCACGATGGTGTGACACACAGGATGTAGACCCCATGAACTGTCAGGTGGAGAGTGTGCTCTCATTCCTGCAGTTTATGTTTGATAAGCAGAAATCGCCCTCCACCATTCGGGTGTTTGCAGCGGCAATTTCAGCTGGTCATGAAGGGTTTAACGGAAAAAACGTGTTCAGTCACCCATTAGTGAAACGTTTCTTATTGGGGACAAAGCGGCTTAGGCCAATGCCCAGAGCTACGCTGCCCCAGTGGGATTTGGCTTTGGTTCTCGAAGCGTTATGTAAGTCGCCGTTCGAGCCATTGAATCAAATACCCCTCAAGATGCTGTCTATCAAGACGGCGCTGTTGCTCGCCTTGACTACCGCTAAGCGGGTCAGTGATTTGTGTGCACTGTCGACGAGACCCGACTGCCTTGCCATTAATGGCGATCTGAGCAGAGCGGTGTTACGTCCTAACCCGGCGTTTGTGCCGAAGGTTATTAACAGTGCATATAGATCACAGATCGTGGAATTGTGGGCTTTTTATCCCCCTCCCCATGGGGAGAGGAGTGAGGAAAAGCTTCATTGTCTGTGCCCAGTACGCGCTTTGGCATGTTACGTTGAGCGCACAGCAGCGGTTAGGTCATCGCCTCAGCTGTTTGTGTGTCACGGTGCGGCTGCATTAGGTAGACCACTTTCAAAACAGCGATTGTCTCATTGGCTTTGTGAAGGTATTGAGACAGCGTACGAGGTGGCGGGGCGACAACCACCTCAGGGTATCAGAGCGCACTCTACTCGTGGAGTAGCAGCTTCTACTGCCCTCTTCAGAGGAACAGAGGTAGAGGATATTTGTAGAGCAGCGTCATGGTCGACGCCGTCTCCTTTTATCCGTTTCTATCTGTTAGATATGTCTTCTAACTCTTTGGCTCGATCTGTACTCAGCGTGGCTGAGGGAAGATCTTGAGCAAAATAGAGAGGAAAAAGCAGGTTTGTGACCATGTTCATAGGGGCCGCTTTTGTTAGAAGGACATATTATGGACAGACATGTTTTTCAACTCTTTGGCTCGGTCGGCTTTCAGCAGAGCTGAAAGGCGATTTTGAGCTAGGAAGAGAGGATAAAGCAGGACCATGGACTGGTTCCAAACAGGTCCGCTTTGGTTAGGAAAACATGTTTGTTGAGGATAGGCTTTTTAACTCTCAAGGCTCGATTGCACTCAGCGTAGCTGAAGGAGAATCTTGAGCTGGAGGAGAGAGAAGCAGGACGATGGACAGGTCTCTATCAGGTCCGCTTTGGATGGAAAGCATATCTTGTGGCATGTCTCCTGACTGACAGGGTCAGTATAGTAGAGACATGTATTGAATTGACAGAATGTGAGGTCATCTATCTGATGTTCAGTTTAGTATGACTGGTATATTTTGTTCCTGCCTACTAATCTCTGGGTTCCATTGAGTGAGTAAGGCGGTTTATTGGACACATAATGTAGAGTGACATTTTATGTCATTCCATTAGTGGACGATAGTGTTGTCACAGAATATTGAGGCACGGCTATCTGCTAGTACAGATTAGCATGGCTTCTATTCTGATGATCTGCCCACTAGTCATTGGCATTGCCATTGAGCTAGATGGGGCGGGTCTATAACCGATGACGCGGTATATTGTGACGCCCGGATGGGTTTTTAGTTGCAGTACTGCGGGAATTGGTTGCAGCCATTGCTAGGCTTGACCTTTTTTCATTTTTTTAATGGAAAGTGTCAGGCTCGGCAGGGAGTACATTTTGGAGCGTTTCGCTCCGCCTTAAACCACTAGGAGCAGAGCTCCCCTATGGGGCGGAGCTCCACGATATAGAACGATTAGTTACCGGAGTGTAACTCCAGTTCTATGCGTGGAGCGGAGCCCCATAGGACTTAAGGCCCTGCCGACCCTCTCTAGTCTCGCTGAAGATAAATATCTCGGGAGGCAGATTGAGGGAACGGGTCCCTTCTTATAGGGGCACCTGTGCTCCCATTGGCTGCAGGTGTGTGCATAATTTTGCTTCAGGCTGTTTCTGCCGTAGGGCAGAGGGTAAACCACTAGGAGCAGAGCTCCCCTATGGGGCTCCGCTCCACTCATAGAACTGGAGTTACACTCCGGTAACTAATCGTTTTCAGTAGACACCAAACAGAAGAAAAAAAAACCAGACTAAAATCTGGGGTGTATTCATTTAGACAAAGACAGTAGCAAACAGTTGGAAAAATTTTTGCAACGGAAACCGTTTACTCCAAACTAAAAAAGTTTTTAAACAAAAATGAGAGTTTCTATTGGACAAATTCAGGTAGGTCCCTCCCTGTTTGTTTCCGTTTGGTTCTGTTGGTTCCTAGTGAATATACCCCTTGCAAAACGTTTTGCTACAGTGTGTACTTATGCAATGAATGATAGGAGCCTGGTTTGTTGAGTGAGTGAACCTTACCTGGCCAATGAGAAGTCCTGTGACACAAGATGCACAGAGATTGGACAGATATTTCTCCACCACATCCTCCACTATGTAGCCTCTGCCCATTCTGACTATAGGATAAAGAGGTGAAAGGCAGTGACTGCACATTAGCTTTCTCTTCCATCAAGAAGGTTTCAAATGAAGCTCTGCAATGTTATATTCAGAAGCAAGCACGACATTTTTCTAAATAGCACTGTAGAGTATTTCAAATTAGTAGTGAATTGGTTTCACAGAACACCTTGTTGACACAGAAGCTAACGTAGCTAGCTAACGTTACCGTTAGTTAGCTATATCTTTCACCACAGCTGTTAGCTAGCTAGCTAGCTAGTTAGCTCAGTCTGGCTCAGTGGCTGGATAACTGGGTTTTCAAACCCAAATCCTAGAGGTTTGATAACCGCAGTTTTGTAAGCTTATGAGTTCATCTTAAATTCACTAAAATGTAGGCTTAAATTCATTGTTATAGCTACCTGATTGACGCGAGTGGTTACTTCATGAACAGTTCCAGCAGCAGACGAATGTTGATACGTGTGACAACGCTTTAATAATACGTCACTGCACCCGAGGAAGATGATTGGACCATTGAATCAAGCTACTTCTGATTGGACAATACTCAACCTCTTATAACGTTATCTGTCGCTTATTGATAAGGTTGGTTTCGGTACGGCGTGATAGAGTTGAGGCAAATATGTTCTAATCTGCGTTTGAGGGGTCGGGTTTGGGTTGTGCTACGTTCGTTAAAGAGGGGATGGCGTACAGAGTATTGGAGATACAGGAATTGGAGTGTGTGGGGATAGAAATTATGTAGATGTGGATATGATTGAGGGTAGAAGAGAATGGGGTGATGACGTGAGACGGGGTGTGGAGAGATGTATAGATAATCGGTTTTATTTGTTTTTAATTATTTATACAGATGGTTCAAAGGATCCAGTCAGTGGTAGGGTGGGGGCTGGGGTGTATATCCCAGATTTCAATGTTAGAGTATGTAAGCGGTTAACTGATTGTGTCAGTGTATGCGGCCGAGTTGATGGCAAGATTATAGGTTTGAGATGGGTGGAGGAGATGAAACCACTCAGAATGGTGATCTGCTCTGATTCGGCTGCAGTGTTGAGTAGTGTGAAGACGGGCAGGTCGGATAGGGGAGACTTGTTTGTGTAGATGATGGTGTTGTTAATGGGATTGAAGAGGATGAGAGTGGTGGTAAGCTTTTGTTGGGTTCCCGCCCATGTGAGTGTGGAGGGTAATGAGAAGGCTGATGTGGTGGCTAAGAGTGTGGTGAGGAGAGAGGGGGTAGATATTCAGGTCCCGTTGGGCCATAAGGAAGTCAAGTCCTTGATCCGGGCAAAGGTGCTTGATCTTTGACAAAGGGAGTGGGATGCTAGTAGTAAGGGGTGGTAATTTTATCGCGTGCACCGGTCAGTTAAGGAAGAGGTGGGGAGGATGGGATGTAAGAGAGAGGAAGTTGTGTGGAGTAGACTACGGTTTGGGCACAGGTTTGAATGCCACGTTGTGGATGATAAGGAGACACGAAACAGGTCTGTGTGATGAGTGTTTAGTGGAAGAAACGGTGGAGCATGTGTTGATATTTTGTGACGTAGATAGGGAGAGATTGTGTAAAAAGGTTAGAGAGGCTGGTTGGGGTTTGGGTGGTGTAGTGGGGGGAGGGAAGTGGTGTCTAGGGCCCTATTTCACTTTCTTAGAGGAACAGGACAAATAAAGAGAATGTAATGTAGGTAGGCCGTGACTGGCCTCACACTCTTGTACAGTAGGTGGCAGTGTATGTACCTTCAAAGTTGGACGCGATCTGCCAACACAATCTCAAAGAAGAAGATGACGTAGTATCTGTTACTGGAGGTCAATTAAAATGTTTCTGATAGCTTGCCCAACGAAGTTACAGAGTCTTTGAAGTTCATTTGCACTGTTTCGAGTGGTGGGGAGATGGCGGCAGTTCTGCTCCAAGTTTTGGAGCGTACAGAGCTGAATAAACTCCCTAAAGCTGCTCAAAACAAACTAGAAAGTTCCTTACTGACCAGCAGAATGAAATTGAATCCCTCAAAACGCAGCACGAACGGCTCAAAGCAGACTGTGGTAAGTGGTGCACTGGTTAGCTAGCTAGGTATTTATGTCAACCAAGATATCTAGCTAGTAACGTTAACTATAGATAACTAACTAATAGTCTACGAAGTTGGCCTTGCTTATTACCACAACAGTATAGCCTGAGCTGACCATACGTACCCAGGCCAGGCTTTAACTGGCAGAGTGCAATGATTTTTGTTTTGCTGTGTTGACTAACTTGGCTAGCCAGCTACCTGCTAGGTCTAGGAAGGGTGACTAGACCATGTTGACAGTCACCAAGTTTAGGTCAATGAAAATGTGCCATTGTCAAAGCGCAAGTCTTGCCCATCTTACACGTCTCATTCGTTTTTCCATTGTTGCTCATTCCTGTCTCTTATACACTGGCGCCCATTAACTAGCTAGCTATAGTCAAGTTAAACCACAAATGAAAGGGAGTTAGCTAGTTAAAAAATATTTGGCTTACACATGACATGCCGCTTAACATATCCCAATTACTACACCTACAGAGCAGCAATACTTTGACGTTGAGAAGAGGTTGGTAGAGAGTCAGGAGCAGTTTGTGTCTCATACCCGGATTACCAGACTCTCAAAGAGGAGAACAGCAAACTCGGTAAGTACACCGGTTTTCACTAGCAATGTTGACATGCCACCTGTCACACACTTCAACAACTATTACAATAGTAAATGTCTTATTCCTTCTCCGCTGTCGAAGAGCTGAACAATCTGAAAGTTGTGGATGTGGAATCGTCAGAGGAGAAGGAATCACAGCAGCCGGTGAGAATATGCATAACTTTCCTTGTCTGCTTGACTACAATAATATAACCGAAAGGAAATGTGATCAAAAGCTTTCTCAGATATCTTCATGGAATGGAAGGGCATAAGGTTTAACCTGTAACATATGTCGCCCAGAGCAAAGCCAAATATGAGATTGAGGGTGGAAACTGGCCCGTCTGCTTGAGAAGAGAACTCAAGAAGTGGAAAATCTTATTTTATTTTATGTGTGTCTGTCTTTTGTTTCATTTGCCTGTTAACCTGCTAATTATAAACTGGGTGGTTCGAGCCCTGAATGCTGATTGGCTGACAGCCGTGGTATATCAGACCGTATTCCACAGGCAGGTATGACAAAACCGTTATTTTGAAAACTCTAATTACATTGCTAAACAGTTTATAATAGCAATAAGGCACCTCTGGGTTTGTGATATATGGCCAATATACCACGGCTAAGTGCTGTGTCCAGGCACTCAGCGATGCGTCGTGCGTAAGAACAGCCCTTAGCCATGGTATATTGGTCATATACCACACCCCCTCGTGCCTTATTGCTTAAATATACATTTACATTTTACATTTACGTCATTTAGCAGACGCTCTTATCCAGAGCCACTTACAAATTGGTGCATTCACCTTATAGCCAGTGGGATAACCACTTGTTTTTTTGGGGGGGTGGGGTAAGGGGGGGGTAGAAGGATGACTTTATCCTATCCCAGGTATTCCTTAAAGAGGCGGGGTTTCAAGTGTCTCCGGAAGGTGGTGAGTGACTCCGCTGTCCTGGCGTCGTGAGGGAGCTTGTTCCACCATTGGGGTGCCAGAGCAGCGAACAGTTTTGACTGGGCTGAGCGGGAACTGTGCTTCCGCAGAGGTAGGGGGGCCAGCAGGCCAGAGGTGGATGAACGCAATGCCCTCGTTCCCCTCACAGCTCCGTAGGCAAGCACCATGGGCTTGTAGCAGATGCAAGCTTCAACTGGAAGCCAGTGGAGTGTGCGGAGGAGCGGGGTGACGTGAGAGAACTTGGGAAGGTTGAACACCAGACGGGCTGCGGCATTCTGGATGAGTTGTAGGGGTTTAATGGCACAGGCAGGGAGCCCAGCCAACAGCGAGTTGCAGTAATCCAGACGGGAGATGACAAGTGCCTGGATTAGGACCTGTGCCGCTTCCTGTGTAAGGCAGGGTCGTACTCTCCGAATGTTGTAGAGCATGAACCTACAGGTATACCTTGTGCTTTTTCCACAGAGGATGTCAAGAGGCTCAATGACAAGCTGGTCGAGAGTGCACCTGTCTGATCATCCCTATATTGTATTGATTCCAATGGTTGCTTAATGACTTCACGCATTGTTTACAGCACTGTGAGAAGCTTATGGAGCAGGAGAAGCAGCTGCAACAAAACCAGAACACGTGGCTGAACTCTGAACTGAAGACCAAGACAGAGGAGCTGCTGTCAGTCTCCAGGGAAAAGGGCAAGGAGATCCTGGAGCTCAAGTGCAGCCTGGAGGGGAAGCGGGATGAGGTACTGTTACAGCAGAAGGCCCACTGGTTTTATTATGACTTCTATATGCTTGAATTTTACCAGGCAGTTCTGTAATTGCATAATCTGGTTTAGGATAACAGATGACCATATACAAAAACACAAGACATTCTAAAAAATGTCATAACTCCTAGCAATAATGATGTGGTGAGCATTACCTTTCTTTGGTTTGAATGTTGTGACCATTAAGAGCAGTCTGTTATGTCCTTACACCCTGTGGTGTCCACCCTCTCTCTCTGTAGGTCACAAGGCTTCAAACCCAAGTCACTAACCTGAAGAATAGCAGTGAGAACCTGCAGAAGCTAGTGGAGGACCTGATGACCAAACTGAAAGAGGTTCTGTGCAAATTCAGCTGATTATTGATAAGGAACTATACTGTTATTAATGCATCTTTACTCTATGTACTGTAGGCTAAAGACCAACAGAGCACCATGGGAGAAGTACCGTGAACTAAACGCTCACATCAAGCACTCTCCAACTTGTACAAGGTCAGTATCTGACCCTTCTAATGTAGTATGCTACGTTATGTAATGTGTGAACACAGTTTTGCATTATTTACAACACTGCCTTAGTTCAGGCTTTTGAAACACTCCCTCGTTTTAAAGCATGTCACTGTGAACATTTAGGCATGTTATGTATTCATAGCAATGCAATAGCAGCTCTCTAAAGGTCCGTTATTCAATGTGGTTTCTTCAGGGGGCAGCGTCAGACGCCGAGTACAAGAATGAAGAGCTGAACAGGGCCGTGGAGGAGGTCCGCAAGCTGGTGAAGGAGGCTGGTAATGGTGAGGTACACCATGCTTTTACCATAGTATTTCCTAATGGTTGATCCATGATGTTGCTGCCTTCAATCCAACTAATGATATCATATTAGAAAATATCCAAATGATACAGAAAAGGTATGGGCCCGATTGCCAGAGTAAATGTAAAAGTAATATGCGTTTATTATGCCATCTATGATCATGTCATTCCTTCCAACAGCGAGACAGACCATAGAGAAGAAGCTGGCGGACATGGAGGGGTCAAAGGGCAAACAGGAGGCTGAGCTGAAGGAGAAGATCAAGAAGATGGAGGAGGAGCTGGAGAACGCCAACCTGCGGGCCTCAGATAAGAGAAGTAATGGCCTACAAAGTGACACAGTTCACGTAGATTTCACTCAATCACTTAGATTTCACTCTGGGAGATAAATGTTACAGGTTAATCCTCATGCCCTTCCATTCCATGAAAATACACTACATTGTCAAAAGTATGTGGACACCTGCTCGTCGAACATCTCATTCCAAAATCATGGGCATTAATATGGAGTTGGTCCCCCCTTTGCTGCTATAACAGCCTCTACTCTTCTGGGAAGGCTTTCCACTTGCTTCCATTCAGTCACGAGCATTAGTGAGATCGGGCACTGATGTTGGGCAATTAGGCCTGGCTCGCAGTCGGCGTGCCAATTAAACCCAAAGGTGTTCGATGGGGTTGAGGTCAGGGCTCTGTGCAGGCCAGTCAAGTTCTTCCACACCGTTCTCGACAAACCATTTCTGTATGGATCTCGCTTTGTGCACAGGGGCATTGCAACCCCTGCAACTTATCCAGAACGCTGCAGCCCGCCTGGTGTTCAACCTTCCCAAGTTCTCTTATTATTTATTATTATTATTATTATTATTATTATTATTATTATTATTCTCTCACGTCACCCCGCTCCTCCGCACACTCCACTGGCTTCCAGTTGAAGCTCACATCTACTACAAAACCATGGTGCTTGCCTACGGAGCTGTGAGGGGAACGGCACCTCCTTAACTTCAGGCTCTGATCAGACCCTACACCCAAACGAGGCCACTACGTTCATCCACCTCTGGCCTGCTAGCCCCCCTACCTCTACGGAAACACAGTTCCCGCTCAGCCCAGTCAAAGCTATTCGCTGCTCTGGCACCCCAATGGTGGAACCCAAGCTCTGGCACCCCAAGCTCCCCCACGACGCCAGGACAGCGGAGTCACTGACCACCTTCCGGAGACACTTGAAACCCTACCTCTTTTAAGGAATACCTGGAATAGTATAATAGTAATCCTTCTACCCCCCCCCCCTTTACTACCACTGTCTTTTGTCTAAATTAACACTTGACTTATTTCACCTGCTATCACTGACTTGTTTAAAGAAATGTACTTATTGTGATCGAGATGTAGTTGTCCCTGTTGCACTGACTTTGCTCACAGCTGCTTGTTTGAAGAAGTGTACTTACTGTGATCAAGATGTGGTTGTCCCACTGGCTATCCTAAGTTGAATGCACAAATGTGTAAGTCGCTCTGGATAAGAGTGTCTGCTAAATGACTTAAATGTAAAAATGAAACCGGAAAGGGCCTTCCCCAAACTGTTGCCACAAATTTGGAAGCACAGAATTGTCTAGAATGTCATTGTATGCTGTAGCGTTAAGATTTCCCTTCATTGGAACTAAGGGGCCTAGCCCAAACCATGAAAAACAGCCCTTTATTCCCCCTCCACCAAACTTTAGAGTTGGCACTATGCATTATGTATTGGGGCAGGTAGCGTTCTCCTGGCATCCGCCAAACCCAGATTCGTCCGTCGGACTGCCAGATGGTGAAGTGTGATTCATCACTCCAGAGAACGCGTTTCCACAGTCCAATGTTGGCGAGCTTTATACCACTCCAGCTGATGTTTGGTATTGTGCATGGTGATCTTAGGCTTGTGTGCGGCTGCTCGGCAATGGACACCCATTTCATGAAGCTCCTGACAAACAGTTATTGTGCTGACGTTGCTTTCAGAGGCAGTTTGGAACTCGGTAGTGAGTGTTGCAACCAAGGACAGACGATTTTTACGCGCTTCAGCACTCGGCGATCCCGTTCTGTGAGCTTGTGTGGCCTACTACTTCGTGGCTGAGCCGTTGTTGCTCCGAGACATTTCCACGTCACAATAACAGCACTTACAGTTGACTGGGGCAGCTCTAGCAGGGCAAAAATTTCGCTAACTGACTTGTTGGAAAGGTGGGAACCTATGACTGTGCCACGTTGAAAGTCTCTGAGCTCTTCAGTAAGGCCATTCTACTGCAAATGTTTGTCTATGAAGATTGCATGGCTGTGTGCTCGATTTGATATACCTTTCAGCACTGGGTGTGGCTGAAATAGCTGAATCCACTAATTTTAAGGGGTTTCCACATATATATTTTGTGTATAACATATCATAGAAAGCTTTTGATCATACAGTGGGGAAAAAAAGTATTTAGTCAGCCACCAATTGTGAAAGTTCTCCCACTTAAAAATATGAGAGAGGCCTGTAATTTTCATCATAGGTACACGTCAACTATGACAGACAAATTGAGAATTTTATTTCCAGAAAATCACATTGTAGGATTTTTTATGAATTTATTTGCAAATTATGGAGGAAAATAAGTATTTGGTCACCTACAAACAAGCAAGATTTCTGGCTCTCACAGACCTGTAACTTCTTATAAATATAACTTTTTGGTAAAAACTCAACTCGTCGTGTTTGGAGGACAAAGAATGCTGAGTTGCATCCAAAGAACACCATACCTACTGTGAAGCATGGGGGTGGAAACCTCATGCTTTGGGGCTGTTTTTCTGCAAAGGGACCAGGACGACTGATCTGTGTAAAGGAAAGAATGAATGGGGCCATGTATCGTGAGATTTTGCGTGAAAACCTCCTTCCATCAGCAAGGGCATTGAAGATGAAACGTGGCTGGGTCTTTCAGCATGACAATGATCCCAAACACACCGCCCGGGCAACGAAGGAGTGGCATTTCAAGGTCCTGGAGTGGCCTAGCCAGTCTCCAGATCTCAACCCCATAGAAAATCTTTGGAGGAAGTTGAAAGTCCGTGTTGCCCAGCAACAGCCCCAAAACATCACTGCTCTAGAGGAGATCTCCATGGAGGAATGGGCCAAAATACCAGCAACAGTGTGTGAAAACCTCGTGAAGACTTACAGAAAACGTTTGACCTGTGTCATTGCCAACAAAGGGTATATAACAAAGTATTGAGAAACTTTTGTTATTGACCACATACTTATTTTCCACCATAATTTGCAAATACATTCATTAAAAATCCTACAATGTGATTTTCAGGATTTTTTTTTCTCAATTTGTCTGTCATAGTTGACATGTACCTATGATGAAAATTACAGGCCTCTCATCTTTTTAAGTGGGAGAACTTGCACAATTGGTGGCTGACTAAATACTTTTTTTCCCCACTGTGTGTGTATGTGTATATATATATATATATATATATACATATATATAGGACAGCCAACAGAGGCAGGATGCTCATCCACAGAGGTCAGCTTTCATCTACTGACTTTTTAAGACCACTTTTAACCAGTGGAGGCTGCCGAAGGGAGGACGGCTCATAATAATGGCTGGAGCAAATGGAATGGCATTAAATGCATGGAAATCATGTGTTTGAAGTATTGGATACCATTCCATTGATTCCGCTCCAGCCATTACCACAAGCCCGTCGTCCCCAATGAAGGTGCCACCAACCTACTGTGGTAGAAACACACGGCACAACAAAGTAGATGAGAAGCATTTTTATTAGTTTGATAAGCCAGATAAAGTAAGCAACACAACGGACATAAATTGTATACTTTTATTCGGCATGTTGGATTACATGTGATACAAGTATCGTTGGAGCAGGGTTGCTGTCATGCAAGAGATATTTAAACCCCCCTGGTGTGGTCTTAACGTGGGGTCTTGTCAAATGTTTTAGCTGATGTTTGAGTTTAGAGAGGTGGCTATTTCAATGTACATCAAAACAACATTCAAAGAAGCTATAGTGAGCCAAGCTAAACAAACGCAATAGAGAGTTATAAACTTCATGAAGTGGCAATTTTGGATGATGTCTAATGCCTAAGATGGAACCTGTCTCTTCTCACCCCCTCCATTCAAGGTATGGGCTTCCCTCGAGCAGGAAGAAGCCCTTTCGGTAGAGGAAACCTATCCAGCTAATGATGTCATCATGCACTGCTCCATTCCCTTACTCCCAAGTCTCAATCATAGTGTCTTAGTCTAATTCATTTGTGATCGTGAGAGAGAGCAATGGTTCGCTTTTTTTCTTCCCAATTTTATATCAGCAGATACCATGTGCCTTAAAAGCGTTAATTTTAGTTTTATATTTGTTTCAAGAGAGTAATTGTTCTGTTGCTTTTGTTTTGCTAATAAACTGAAGAAAAAAATGTTTTGCCGTAGGTGTGCTTTGTGCGTTGTTGGTCCCTCCATAGGGAGTGCTCTAGTCACACTTGAGCCACTTCTTGATGGAGTTCTGGTGGGGATCAGCATTGTCTGGTTTGGCCAGAGCAGGCAGATCACCAGATATCTTGATGTTGAAGTACAGAGCTAAAAAGGGAATAGTGTTTGTGTTAACATATTGACTTAACTGTAGGTTTACCTTTTTAAACAGAACAGCTGCAGTTGCACAGGATATTTAAGAATTCCATGTCAAGGCAATGTTTATGCATCTGACAAATACAGCATATGATAGAATATACCAGTAATACTTAATTATTATACTGGATCATTACTTATGCGTTTTGAACCAGTATTTTCTGTATAAGGGTCTTTCTATAAATAATGGGTCCAATGTGTGACATTGGGATCAACATTTCAAAATGGTTTGAAAAAATAAATATGACTTTCATGCAGTTCCACATGTGTATTTAGAGGAATATAAGTGAATATATATATACATATTGGCCCATAACTCCACCTATACAACAACATAGGCCTAGGATAATCCTTTAAAGGGATACTTCAGGATTTTGGCAATGAGGCCCTTTATCTACTTCCCCAGAGTCAGATGAACTCGTGGATATCATTTTTATGTCGGTGTCCCGTATGAAGGACGTTCGAGGTAGTTTCGCGAGCCAATGACTGGAAGTCTATGGGTATCTATTAGCATGCTAGTAATCAACTGGACACCAAATGCGCATCCAACAAGTATTATGCATAATTATTGAAGAACCACGTTAATGACCTTATCGATTTAGGTTTTAAGTATCAAGGTAAGGTGACCCTTTTGTTTAAAAGTTTTCAATTTTGCAATTCATACATTGTTTTGGATTTGTGTGCCCATAAACTGTTTTGACCCGGTAACTTAAGGAGACACGAAATGTTAAGTAGTTACACTGCATTTCTGAGATCTCTATACAAAAAACTGTCTGACCGCTAGATCCAGGATTCAAACTGTCCGACCGCTTACAGGGTTCAAGTTCTATGTCTAATTTAACTGATTAATGGATAATATATGATATAACGACAACTTACACTGCCATAAATGCAAGGACAGAAAAGTAATGTTTTGTCATATGATTTTGGACATATCCGTCAAGACACCAACCAGGATAAGGGTTAAACAGTTTTAAATCAACTCGTGAATTTTATTGAATATAGCTATGATCCCCCAAGTTGTCCAGTGTAGGAAATCCTCACTGGTACCCTAGTTTATAGAAAGACCCATAAACAGTATTTTGCTGATGTAATAGATATTTTGGGTTATTAGATATACAGTACATCATGAACATTGTCATAGACTTACGTCCAGCGAAGAGGAAGTAGTCGTATCCGTCGGCCTTCTTGGGGCTGGGGACAGACACAGCTGAGGTCACTGAGGAGGGAAAGCCTTTCAGAGCCAGCTTGATGTTGATCTCTCCTCCCAGACTCATCTCTGTTTGGCGAGCATGGCGTTTCTTTGCACTGGACTTGGATTTCTTGCCACAGACAGGACCACTTCCAGCATGGTACGAGTATTTCTGCATGGTGCCTCCTGTGGGTGAAAGAAATAGCCAATGTGGATTGAGTAGAGCGAGCTCATTGGTGTAACTCATCATGTAAAGCAATGGGAGTAGGTTAGGTAGTGGTAATCCTCAAGCTCTCCTTTACCTTTCTTGAAGAAGTAGACAGACTCGGGCCTCCTCCTGGTAGCAGGCACAGGCAGGGCTGCAGTGATGGTGCCAGTCAGACCATCAAAACCAGAGGCAACAGATTTGGGGTAACCAGACTCCATCTTGCCATTGTCCATCCTCCAGTAGTCATCACCCTGAGATGGACAAGAGATGGGAACATTATATTGGCTATGCAAAAAGGATCTGTGTGACAATATCCCAATCCCATCGAAAGTGTTTAGGTCATTAGGTTCCACCTAGGCATCTCCACTGCCCCAACCCACTGAGCTTCTCCCAGGTTCTACGTTTTTCCCCGGCAGTTCTACAGTACCTTGATGATGTAGCTCTTGCCCTGGCAGTTGGTGCGGGTGAAGGCACTGTCGATGGGGGAGGGGATGCCCAACTCCTCTGTGATGTTGCGGACTGGGCCATGGGCCTTGGTGATGGGGTCTATCGTCCAGAAGAAATGACCTGGTTGGGGGCAACAGAACCACAATCATTAGGAGATGATGCATCAAGTAACTATTTCCTTTAGGATTTTAGGATACACATTGTTATGCTATTTCATGAAAGGAAAGTAGCTGACAATTATTAATAAATATACTTACTGATCATAAATATTTGATCAGTAAGTAATGAGTGAGAAATGATAGAGCTAGCCAAGAGCTAGGCCACTATGCTCCACACACACATACCCTTGAAGATGAGAATGCTTCCATTGGCCAGAGTGGTCAATCCGTTGATGGGCAGGTCACTGCAGAGGTCTGGGTTACTGTCGACATCTAGAGGAAAGAAGACACGTCCATGTGGGGAGAAGCCATTAAAATTGTGAATAATGTTTCATGTTGTCCTTTACTGTATAATATAATAAGTATAACTGACTGTATAATAGCTAAATATCTACTTGACACTGATGACATGTACATTAAATCAATACTCAATTGATGCAGTAGACATCCTAAAGGTTACTGATGTAGAAACACTACATAGCTGGAGACTCTTATCTCCCTCACTAACTTTAAGCATCAGTTGTCAGAGCACCTTACCGATCACTGCACCTGTACACAGCCCATCTGAAATTAGCCCACCCAACTACCTCATCCCTATATTGTTATTTATTTTGCTATTTTGCACCCCAGTATCTCTATTTGCACATAATCTCTTGCACATCTATCATTCCAGTGTTAATACTAATTGTAATTATTTTGCACTATAGCCTATTTATTGCCTTACCTCCATAACTTACTACATTTGCACACACTGTATATATATTTTCTGTTGTATTTTTTGACTTTATGTTTTGTTTTATCCCATATGTAACTCTGTGTTGTTGTTTTTATCGCACTGCTTTGCTTTATCTTGGCCAGGTCGCAGTTGTAAATGAGAACTTGTTCTCAACTGGCTTACCTGGTTAAATAAAGGTGAAATCATAATAAATCAAAATAAATAGTATCCAATCTGAGGTCCCTACCTGGTAGACCTGTGTTAGGGTTGTTGTAGCCCAAGGTCTTGGCTATTTCTGCCGTATTGCTGGGGTCTTTGAGTCCCAACGCCTTGGCTATGTCTGCCAGAGTGATGGGTTTGTTGGGGTCGTTGAGCCCCAAGGCCTTGGCTATGTCTTCCAGAGTGTTGGGGTTGTTGGGTCTTTTAGGGTCATTGGGGTTGTTGACCCCCAAGGCCTTGGCTATGTCTTCCAGAGTGCTGGGGTCAATGAGTCCCAAAGCCGTTGCTATGTCTGCCAGAGTGATGGGTGTGTAGGGGTCGTTGAGCCCCAAGGCTGTGGCTACATCTGCCAGAGTATTGGGGTTTTGGTGGGTTTTAGGGTCGTTGGGGTTTTTGAATCCCAAGACCTTGGCTATGTCTGCCAGAGTGATGGGTTTGTTGAGGTTCTTGACCCCCAAGGGCTTGGCTATGTCTGCCAAAGTGCTGGAGTCATTGAGCCCCAAGGCCTTGGCTATGTCTGCCAGAGTAATTGGTTTGTTGGGGTCGTTCAGCCCCAAGGCCCTGGCTATGTTTGCCAAAGTGATTGGGTCATTGGGGCTGTTGAGCCCTAAGTCCTTAGCTATGTCTTCCAGATAGCTGGGGTTTTGGGGGGGGTTAGGGTCATTGGGGTTGTTGAACCCTAAGGCATTGGCTATGTCTGCCAGAGTGCTGGGGTCTTTGAGCCCCAAGGCCTTGGCTATGTTTGCCAAAGTGATGGGGTCTTTGGGGGTTTTGAGCCCTAAGGCCTTGGTTATGTCTGCCAAAGTGAAGGGGTTGTTGGGGGTTTTGAGCCCTAAGGCCTTGGCTATGTCTGCCAGAGTGATGGGTTTGTTGGGGTTTTGGGGGGGTTTAGGGTTGTTGGGGTTGTTGACCCCCAAGGCCTTGGCTATGTCTGCTAGAGTGATGGGTTTGTTGGGGTCGTTGAGCCCCAAGGCCTTGGCTATGTCTTCCAGAGTGTTGGGGTTGCTAGGTCTTTTAGGGTCATTGGGGTTGTTGACCCCCAAGGCCTTGGCTATGTCTGCCAGAATGCTGGGGTCACTGAGTCCCAAAGCCGTTGCTATGTCTGCCAGAGTGATGGGTGTGTAGGGGTCGTTGAGCCCCAAGGCCGTGGCTACATCTGCCAGAGTTTTGGGGTTTTGAGGGGTTTTAGGGTTGCTGGGGTTTTTGAATCCCAAGACCTTGACTATATCTGCCAGAGTGATGGGTTTGTTGGGGTTCTTGACCCCCAAGGGCTTGGCTATGTCTGCCAAAGTGCTGGAGTCATTGAGCCCCAAGGCCTTGGCTATGTCTGCCAGAGTGATTGGTTTGTTGGGGTCGTTCAGCCCCAAGGCCTTGGCTATGTTTGCCAAAGTGATTGGGTCATTGGGGCTGTTGAGCCCTAAGGCCTTAGCTATGTCTTCCAGATAGCTAGGGTTTTGGGGGGGGTTAGGGTCGTTGGGTTTGTTGAACCCTAAGGCCTTGGCTATGTCTGCCAGAGTGCTGGGGTCTTTGAGCCCCAAGGCCTTGGCTATGTTTGCCAAAGTGATGGGGTCTTTGGGGGTTTTGAGCCCTAAGGCCTTGGTTATGTCAGCCAGAGTAAAGAGATTGTTGGGGTTTTTGAGCCCAAAGGCCTTGGCTATGTCTGCCAGAGTGATGAGTTCGTTGGGGTTTTGGGGGGGTTTAGGGTCGTTGGGGTTGTTGACCCCCAAGGCCTTGGCTATGTCTACCAGAGTGATGGGTTTGTTGGGATCGTTGAGCCCCAAGGCCTTGGTTATGTCTTCCAGAGTGTTGGGGTTGTTGGATCTTTTAGGGTCGTTGGGGTTGTTGACCCCCAAGGCCTTGGCTATGTCTGCCAGAGTGCTGGGGTCATTGAGTCCCAAAGCCGTGGCTATGTCTGCCAGAGTGATAGGTTTGTTGGGGTCATTGAGCCCCAAGGCCGTGGCTACGTCTGCCAGGGTGTTTGGGTCTTTGGGGTTTTTGAATCCCAAGACCCTGGCTATGTCTTCCAGAGTGATGGGTTTGTTGATATTCTTGACACCGAAGGCCTTGGCTATGTCTGCCAATGTGCTGGAGTCATTGAGCCCCAAGGCCTTTGCTATGTCTGCCAGAGTGATGGGTTTGTTGGGGTTGTTCAGCCCCAAGGCCCGGGCTATGTTTGCCAAAGTGATTGGGTCATTGGGGCTGTTGAGCCCTAAGTCCTTAGCTATGTCTTCCAGATAGCTGGGGTTTTGGGGGGGTTTAGGGTCGTTGGGTTTGTTGAACCCTAAGGCCTTGGCTATGTCTGCCAGAGTGCTGGGGTCTTTGAGCCCCAAGGCCTTGGCTATGTTTGCCAAAGTAATGGGGTCTTTGGGGGTTTTGAGCCCTAAGGCCTTGGTTATGTCTGCCAGATTGATGGGGTTGTTGTCTTTTTTTAGCCCTAAGGCCTTGGCTATGTTTGCCAAAGTAATGGGGTCTTTGATGTTGTTGTAGCCTAATTCCTTGGCTATGTCTGCCAGAGAGCTGGGGTATTGGGGGGGTTTAGGAGCATTGGGGTCGTTGAATCCCAAGGCCTTGGCTATGTTTGCCGAAGTGATGGGGTCATTGGGGCTATTGAGCCCCAAGGCCTTGGCTATGTCTGCCAGAGTGATGGGGTTGTTGGGGTTTTGGGGAGGTTTAGGATCATTGGAGTTGTTGAACCCCAAGGCCTTGGCTATGTTTGCCAATGTGACGAAGTCATTGGGGGAGTTGAGCCCCAAGGCCTTTGCTATGTCTGCCAGAGAGCTGGAGTTTTGGCTGGGTTTAGGGTCGTTGGGGTTCCTGAGCCCCAAGGCCTTGGCTATGTTTGCCAATGTGATTGGATCATTGGGGGAGTTAAGCCCCATGGCTTTGGCTATGTCTGCCAGAAGGATGGAGTTCTTGGGGTTTTGGAAAGGTTTAGGATCATTGGGGTTGTTCAACCCCAAGGCCTTGGCTATGTTTGCCAAAGTGATTGGGTCATTGGGAGTGTTGAGGCCCAAGGCCTTGGCTATGTCTGCCAGAGTGATGGGGTTCTTGAGCTCCAAGGCCTTGGCGATATCTGCCAGAGTAGGGAGCAGGGGAGCTCCAGACAACAGGGCCCTGGGGCCAGCGTTACCCACCGAGGGGCCACCCTGGCTGGGCATGGGCAAGCCAGTGGCTGGGAAGTTAGCAGAACCAGGGAGCTGACCAGTGAGGGAAGGCAGGGCAGAGGGAGTGGCAGCCATGGGTGTAGGGAGGAGGGTGGAGATGCCCTCCAAGAGACTGGTGGCTGCATCACTCAGAGCTTCACAGGAGATAAGGGGGCAAGATGAAGGATGTTAGAACATGTACATACAAACAAACAAACACAAGCTGGCATACAAAATACTACACAATGCATCAGCACTCAGAGAAAACATTGGATTTCTCCTAAGCCTACTGATATGCATTAAGAACTTTGCCCTTGTCGCTTGACTACTTCAAAACATAAATAATAATCAGCCTTTTCTGTCACTTTCTCAGACAATACTTTCATCAAACACTTTGCCATATGGTATGTCTCACAACTGTATGAGCTCTCACCATCCATGACAGTGGCTGGGGCTGTGGAGGTGGGACCATTGAAGCTGTCAGTCAGAGGGTAGAAGTCAGGGCTCAAAGGGGAAGCTGGGTACCCCAGAGAAAAGAGAATAGTCACTCTGGCTCTTAGGGCTTATGGATCCAGGGTAAGGGCTGTTGGTATCTGTGTGAAACACATAAACAGGTTACCGGGGTAAACCTATCATAGACAAATATAAAACAATGACTGACTCTAGCATGTTGGTAGCTGTAATTCTTAATCAATTGTGTTGCTCAGCACAAGCTCCTTGTCTGTTGACAAAGTCCTCAATCTCTTCACTTCTCAGCTGCTGTGTTCTGATAGTGTCAATGATTGACAAGCGCACCACCAATAGCCTAAACTTACCATAGTCCTGATTCTCAGGGAAGAGGTCGGATGGAGAAGGGTATATGGTCTGGCTCTGGTCTGAAAACACAACAAAAAACACAATACATCGAACAACTGTTGTGGTCTGAGACCCAGAGGGCAGAGAGAGGCACAGGCTCAGCCCCTGGAAACTGTTGCAAGTAACACTGCAGTTATCGCTTTTTTCTCATCTGACCTCCATACAGCAATAGCCTAAAGAGGCCTATTATGGGTTAGATTCTCACATGCAGTCACTGATCAACCCATGTAACCCAATGGAACCTAGCTGCTCTTCCAGTCCACAAGCATTGCCTTGTTTAAATTATTTGACGATTTACACTATTGTTCCCTCAGTCTATTGTAGGATTCTGAAGCCTTTCTATGCCATTGGTTATCACACAGCCATTGGAAAGCCATAACTAGGGCCCTGAGTTTTCCTGGCAGTCATATGGTCAGTAAAAACTCAGGGCCCCACCTAAAACGCACAACCTGGCAGGTACACACGTACCTTGGCCGCCTTCCTCACTCTCGCTGTTTGAAGGTTTCTTGGGAGATTTGAGATTCTTCGATTCTGTCTCGCTGGAAGATTTGTTCTTGGGAAGTGCTAAAGAAAATTCATTGCAATAAGCTAACGTTTCTACTGTTTAAAATGGCCCACTCTAACCTAGCATTCAGAGACTGTTTGGCCTATAATCAGGGTACACTAGCTCTGTTGATCCATGCAGTTACTTTGCTACAAAGACAAAGACAGTAACTGAACCTGTTGGCTTTTTCTTGGCATCCTGCTTGATCCTCTGGGTTGGTGGTGGAGTTGTAGAGGCATCTAAAACAGAAGAAAGTTTGATATTGTGATATTTGTGCATGCATTTTTAAAAAACAATTAGTAAATGATTAGTACATGGGCCATTAAATTCGACCCATCACTCTATTCAACTCACTCCTAATAATTTACTACATAGGCATTGTTCTTTAGACCTGTTCTCTGTGGGACAGATTAATTCAATTGATTACTGATTGTATTGTACTGGTTAAGTTGAACTAACTCAGATATCATGATAAAGTGTTGAAATTATGTAATTAGTCTTTTAATAAAGATTGTTGTTGTTCATACCACAGTGGTGCTGGTAGTCATGGCAACAGGTGTCGTAGCGGACACAGCCTGGGTCACACTCACAAAGCCTGCCTCGTCTGAACGATTCACCACACCTACCACTGCACGACTCACCTGCAAGAGAGAAGAAATAGACCCTGATATTCACCAACACACCCACTTTGGTCCTGTCTACTGCACCATTGATGGCTGACTTTGCCTGTCACATAGTTTGAGTTTCAGATACATCAACACATGTTTACATTCATGCATATATGCAGACTCTAATTTTTAATGAATAACATCCTAATACATTTAAATATTTGAGAATTGAATTATGGCATAGTAATATCATAGTAATAGCATCAGTCTTACCGAAAGTGCAGAGAGCTTCAAAGTCCTTGCAGCACTCGTCGTGAGCGAGGCAGCTGGCGTCACACTGGCAGGGCTGACCACGAGCGAACGGGTCACCACATCTACCACTGCAACTGGCTGCAGGTTGGGGACACAGCAATAGGGGATGAGCTCAAAAACAACACTTACTGTACATTTAGTGCTACCATTAAAAAGGTCTATAGCGACTTACAGAACTGTTGACATTGACAGTGTCACATATATTCAGCATATAATGTGGCCCCTGTACCAGACAATGGATTCTTACCTTGAGCAGCAGAGAGTGGCAGAAGAGCAGCGCAGGTCACCACCATGAGGGCAGCCAGCAGCGATGATGCAGTCATCATGAGTTTCAGTCTCAACTAGAATAGAGAAACAAGACCATGAAATACCTTTCTTTGTCCTTTAAGGAAAAAAACGTCTTCCTCTTTGGTTTTATCCATAACGAGTGTTACAAAGTTACATTCCAATGGTCAAACCTTAACTAAACAAGAATGTTCTCTCTTCACATATTAATCTTCATAGATCCCTGAAATACATATAAATAATTATAAGATTATAAACTGAAAATAAGACAAAGCCAATCACCTTCACACAAGTCAACTCCAGTCAACTCAACTTGCTCTCCCTAACTCCCAATGGCCTTTATATAGTGTGAACGGCTGGTTTTGGAGTGACAGCTAGGGCAGGACATTTTTAATTAGTCCAAATACAGCCCCAATTAAAACCACAAAATGATGCAGAGACCTCCTACGCACTCACAGGAAGTAGAACTAGACTGGCCAGGCAAGTTAAGGCGTGGAATAAGAAACTGGAAGAGCATCTGTGGACATAGACAACGATGACATCACAGTGAGGTGACGACCTTGCCTTTACAAGGGTCCCCAAAAAACACCACGTTCTTTCTATTAACCAGACCTGCATGGTTGTTCCCGCAACTCTATGTGGACTCAAACAAGTACACATGTCTAATTGGCTGTTATTATCTTTATTAAAGTTCGCCATACAACCTCAGATGGTTAAAATGTTGGATTTTTCTCATGTGATTCACAACGTGGTCGGACCACAGAGCGTGGTCAAGCTTTCACTCTCAGGGCTCGAACTTTAAACCAATATGATAATACTGTATTACACAACAAAAATAACAGATGTAGATTTTTTATGTGATATTTTAACTATATTCTTTGGCTGGAGTATAGTGTTCTTTCCAGTAACTTACTGGAACATGGTGAACCATCACTAGGCAAATTCAATTACTCTATAATGTGATAATTGGGGCCCTGAGTTTTTCCTGACCACGTGAAGTGGGCTCTTAAAGTGTTTCTCTTGTCAGGTCATTTGGTCAGGAAAATCTCTGGACCCAAGTGATAATGTAACAACTGAATTGTGTGCAAGGATTTTAATGTATATCATTTAGCACACCTTTATTGTGGCATTCATCTTTCTCAGAGTAGGTATATGTACAACCCAAGATCTTCCAGTAATTTGATCTTGCTACAATAACAATGAGAGGCGCACCACACCACAACAGTTACTCTTACTACCATTCATGAATGAAAAAACAAGTGTTAATAACATTTCCTCAAAATTAAGCAGCAATTTCTTTGTGAGGTGGCAGACCTCTTGATACATTTTGAGTGTTTGGAACAAAAGAGTCCATTCAAGAAATATCATTATTCTCTCCTGGTTCTGTTCTGAGGTAACGTCTTCTACCCCTCCTACGAACATGTTGTAGACATTATTCAAACCGTCTGTACGAGGCCATATGTTTTAAGAATGAAAATAGTGAGTGCTTCAAAGAGCACCCTTAAACACTCCCACACACGTGCTTTAGTATTTACCATTTAACATTTTAGTCATTTTAGCAGATGCTCTTATCCAGAGCGACTTACAGTTAGTGAGTGCATACATTTTCCCTGGCATTGCAAGCGCCATGCTCTACCAACTGAGCTACACGGGGCTAGTACATGCTCTTGACTTCACATAAACACTGTCTTTGACCAAAAACAACAATCTTAAAATCAGAATTGTATATGAGTTCACCAGATCAAATACAGTGGGGAGAACAAGTATTTGATACACTGCCGATTTTGCAGGTTTTCCTACTTACAAAGCATATAGAGGTCTGTAATTTTTATCATAGGTACACTTCAACTGTGAGAGACGGAATCTAAAACAAAAATCCAGAAAATCACATTGTATGATTTTTAAGTAATTAATTTGCATTTTATTGCATGACATAAGTATTTGATCACCTACCAACCAGTAAGAATTCCGGGTCTCACAGACCTGTTCGTTTTTCTTTAAGAAGCCCTCCTGTTCTCCACTCATTACCTGTATTAACTACACCTGTTTGAACTCGTTACCTGTATAAAAGACACCTGTCCACACACTCAATCAAACAGACTCCAACCTCTCCACAATGGCCAAGACCAGAGAGCTGTGTAAGGACATCAGGGATAAAATTGTAGACCTGCACAAGGCTGGGATGGGCTACAGGACAATAGGCAAGCAGCTTGGTGAGAAGGAAACAACTGTTGGCACAATTATTAGAAAATGGAAGATGTTCAAGATGACGGTCAATCACCCTCGGTCTGGGGCTCCATGCAAGATCTCACCTCGTGGGGCATCAATGATCATGAGGAAGGTGAAGGATCAGCCCAGAACTACACGGCAGGACCTGGTCAATGACCTGAAGAGAGCTGGGACCACAGTAACCCCAAGAACACCATCCCAACCGTGAAGCATGGAGGTGGAAACATCATTCTTTGGGGATGCTTTTCTGCAAAGGGGACAGGACGACTGCACCGTATTGAGGGGAGGATGGATGGGGCCATGTATCGCGAGATCTTGGCCAACAACCTCCTTCCCTCAGTAAGAGCATTGAAGATGGGTCGTGGCTGGGTCTTCCAGCATGACAACGACCCAAAACACACAGCCAGGGCAACTAAGGAGTGGCTCCGTAAGAAGCATCTCAAGGTCCTGGATTGGCCTAGCCAGTCTCCAGACCTGAACCCAATAGAACATTTTTGGAGGAAGCTGAAAGTCCGTATTGCCCAGCGACAGCCCCGAAACCTGAAGGATCTGGAGAAGGTCTGTATGGAGGAGTGGGCCAAAATCCCTGCTGCAGTGTGTGCAAACCTGGTCAAGACCTACAGGAAACGTATGATCTCTGTAATTGCAAACAAAGGTTTCTGTTCCAAATATTAAGTTCTGCTTTTCTGATGTATCAAATACTTATGTCATGCAATAAAATGCAAATGAATTACTTAAAAATCATACAATGTGATTTTCTGGATTTTTGTTTTAGATTCCGTCTCTCACAGTTGAAGTGTACCTATGATAAAAGTACAGACCTCTACATGCTTTGTAAGTAGGAAAACCTGCAAAATTGTCAGTGTATCAAATACTTGTTCTCCCCACTGTAAGTCTAGACCCAACAAGGGCAGGTTAACATATGGAAGACGTTGAATGCTACAGAAGGTTGATGACCTCAAAGGGACTGATTCCCTGCTCTGTAACCCCAGATTCTCTCTCAATTCTGTCAACATTTAAGTTATTTGATTTTTGTAGTTTTTTAAAAGATCTTGTCTCTCTCTAGTCAGCAGGAAGCCGATTGTGCAGTCAACCTTTCTACCTGTTCTTGATTATGGTGATACTAGTTATTGAAGTGCAGCTGTCGTTTTTTGGAGCGCCTTTAGTTTTATCACAGGAGACAGTTTTATTATTCATCACTGTATTCTTTACCAAAAGGTTGGCTGGACCTCTTTGAAGTCACGTAGATCACACCATTACGCTTATTTTGTTTACAAAGCCCTGCTCCACAAACTTCCGACTTACCTAACATCACTGTTAAGATTTAAAATGAATAGTTATCAAACCTGTTCACAGGGTTGGTTAACTCTGGAGACTCCTTTGGTGTCTAGAGAGTCAGATAGATCAGCCTTTGGTTTCCTTGCGCCTTGCGTATGGAATGATCTACAATGCACTTTAAAATTGGAGGAATTTGTGCCTCTAGGGCATTTCAGGTGCCTCTAGGGCATTTCAGGTGCCTCTAGGGCAGGGGTGTCAAATTTTTTTGTAAAGTATAAAAATGCGCTGCAATTTTTCAATAAAATAAACTGCTGTTCCAATTGCGTCCACTGGATGGCGCAATAGCAATTGTGTTAAGCAAGCAAACTGTTTATACCGGGGCAGAGCAAGTAGGTCAAGCACGTGCAGATAATGAGCTACTTTGTTTTGCCCGCGATATTTATTACGGCTTCTACTTTTAACATTATGTGCTTTGGCACCCTCATTGCCCCAATATGTCTCTGTCAAAAAAGAGAAAAGTGGACACAGAGTGCAGAGTGTTCCAAGAAAAATGGTCATCCTATTTATTCACGGAATTGAATGGGAAAGCTGTATGCTTGGTGTGTTCAGAGCATGTTGCAGTGCTGAAAAAATATAACCTTCGTCGCCACTATGTGAGTCTTCATGCCGACAAATATGACAACTTTCAAGGACAGCGGAGATGAGAGAAGGTGAATGAACTGTTGGCGGGTCTGAAGAAACAGCAGTCTGTGTTTACTCACAGCCGAGACATCAGTGACGCTGCAGTGAAAGCTAGCTACCTCATTGCTAATGAAATCGCAGTGGCTTCAAAACCATTTAGTGAGGGTGAATTTGTAAAAACATGCATGATGAAGGCAGCGGAGATTGTGTGCCCTGAAAAGCGGAAGGCTTTTGCAAATATCAGCCTGACAAGAAACACAGTTGCAGACAGGATTTCCGATCTTTCAGTGGATTTGGACAGCCAGTTGAAGCAAAAAGTAAAGTCATTTATTGCGTTTTCGGTTGCAATTGATGAAAGCACGGACATTACAGATGTTGCACAACTGGCCATTTTCATCCGCGGAGTTGATGACACATTGACCGTCACCGAGGAGTTCGTGGAGTTGGTGCCGATGACAGATACAACGACAGCAGCTGATATTTTTACCGCACTCGTCGGCGTGCTGGACAGGGTCGGAGTGGACTGGTCCCGCACTGTCAGCCTGGCTACAGATGGTGCGCCCTCAATGATCGGGAAAAAAGCAGGCGTTGTGACAAAGTTCAGAGAGAAAGTGCAATCTGCAAATGGAGGACGTGATTTTTTGACTTTTCACTGTATTTTGCACCAGGAGGCTTTGTGTTGCAAGTCATTAAAGATGGATAACGTCATGAAGGTGGTCATCCAAACTGATAATTTCATCCGATCCAGAAGCCTGAATCACCGTCAGTTTGACAGCCTTCTCAGAGAGAAAGACCACATCTATGGCCTGCCATACCACACTGAGGTAAGATGGTTAAGCCGAGGTGCTGTGCTGAGGCGTTTCTTTGATTTACGAGAAGAAATTGAACAGTTCATGGAAGAAAAGGGCAAACCAGTGTTAGAATTTCATTCCGCAGAATGGATGCAGGACCTTGCATTTATGGTGGATGTTACAGAGCACCTGAATAACTTGAACAAACAGCTGCAAGGGCGCAACAAAGTTGTCACGCAGTATTATGACAGCATACGTTCTTTCAAGTTGAAGCTGTCATTGTGGGAGACGCAACTTGCCGGTGGTGATGCAGCTCACTTCCCCTGTCTGAAAAATGTGTGCACGACCCAACATGTGGCAGACATGAAGCGGTTCAAAGATAAAATAACGGGACTGTTACGGGAGTTCAGATTTATGTTTATATGTTTTTATGTTGATGTGCTATTGTTTTTAATTGATTTTATTTTATTTGTATATTTAACCTATTCTTGACTCTGTGGTTCTTGCACTTGTTTGGGGAACAGGATTTCATTATTTTTATCTACATTTCTGCCTGAGAAATGACACCCTGATATAGTTCTGTGATCTGTGAAACAGTTCTGTTAATCACTGAGGCATTGTGTGTTTGTGTGTTCTTTGTCCTCAGAACTTTCAAATAACTTGAGGTGTTTTATGATTAATAGTGATGTTGTGCTTTTGGACACTGTCCTCAGGCTCCAGCTTTATGTTTATATGTTTTTATGTTGATGTGCTATTGTTTTTAATTGATTTTATTTTATTTGTATATTTAACCTATTCTTGACTCTGTGGTTCTTGCACTTGTTTGGGGAACAGGATTTCATTATTTGTATCTAAATTTCTGCCTGAGAAATGACACCCTGATATAGTTCTGTGATCTGTGAAACAGTTCTGTTAATCACTGAGGCATTGTGTGTTTGTGTGTTCTTTTTCTTTAGAATTTTCAAATAAACTTGACGTGTTTTATGATTAATAGTGATGTTGTGCTTGTACTATTTTGGACACACTGTCCTCAGGCTCCAGCTTTATGTTGTATGTTGATCGTATTAAAACAAAGAAAACAATCTGAAGTTGTTGTTTTTAAGTTATATATACCATGATTTTTCCGGTCCGGCCCACTTGTGAATAGATTTTCCTCCATGTGGCCCCTGAGCTAAAATGAGTTTGACACCCCTGCTCTAGGGCATTTCAGACGGTTGTTTGGGGACCTTTTTTACTGAAGAATGTGTCTGTTTTTTATGATTGTGTTTTGCTTGTCATGTATTGTTGTGTATATGAATGTGTAGTTGAATGTGTGTATTGTATTTGTATGTGTATTGTGGTGCTATACAGGGCTCATCTGGAAAAGAGACCTTGGTCTCAGCATTGACTCCCTGTCAAAATATAGGTTAAAAAAAACAGAAGCAATTCAGAGTCTTGTAAAAGGTGGTCTGTAGGAGCTGTGTGTTGGAGGGCTTATTAGGCGATACTATCCTGCTGCCTGCCTACAGTTGTCCCAGAGTTTCAGTCTGTTCAGCCTCCAGACCACAGGAACACAGGAACACTGGCTGGCAAGTCATGACGTCTGTCTCTGTCTGCCTCTGGACTGGACTCACAGTGGTGGGTGATGGGAAGGTCACAGGCTCAGCCCCTGGTTCCTGTCAATCTGAATTACCTAGCTGCTATACTTTACGGCACCATTCAGTGTGGCCGGTCTGCCTTGCTTGTGGGCCATGAGTTTTTCCTGACCTCTTGACACAACCATGAAAAACTTTGGGACCCAGATTATAGCCTATTTCCATGTGACAAAGGTCAGCAAAATGGTCCTATCTAAAGAAGATGGCTGGCATTTGGAAATGATGATCAAGAAACTAGTCTTAGATCAGTAGTTATAATGCAGAGGGAACGGTTGCTGGTTCGAATCCCCGAGCTGACTTGGTGAAAAATATGCCGATGTACACTTGAGCATGGCACTTAACCCTAATTGCTCCTGTAAGTCGCTCTGGATAAGAGTCTTTAAAATGAATGAAGGATTTCACTAGGCCCTTTGAAATATATAAAAATACTAATGATTGTGCCTTATGTACTGTAGTCTACTTATGAAACAAAGGAGATGAGGAATGTTGTTGTGATTATGTACTTTGCATTTGCATGTTGTAACTTACGAGAGCAGTAGTTAGCGATACACACGTGTCATTACTTTGTGTGTAACCCAGACTGTTTATGAGACACCCCTCTAATTTCAAGAGAATAATTTGCTAGTATTTTCCAGTTTCACTAATGAAACACAAAGGGAGTTATGGCAAGTAGGAGAGCTGTTGGTTGGTCCACCGGCATTATAAAATCAACTGGGGTTTCATGTGTTACTACTGTTTGGGACTTCCACGCATTTCCCATACTCATGCTTTCCAACATTGCTTGTGCTCTCTTTTGATAGGTTACTTCACAAATGCAAAGGAGATTACGACGCCAAACATTATGTTACCACATACCATTGAGTTTATTAAAAGTGTATAGCATAAAAAACTGACATCTGGATTATTTGAAGGGTGAGGTTCTGTTCATAAACTCTGCTGGGACTCTTCTCTCCTGCACATGTATTGAATGTATAGAATGTGAGTTATTTAGTTGTGTCCTCTTTTCTAACTGCAATTCAAATAAAATAAAATTGAGGTTAAAAATAAACGTTGAAGACAAGGCACAATGACTTGACCAGACATCATGTTCAAAGTTGTCTTTTTTTATTTCCACAGATATTCTATGCTAGTGACATTGTATTTCATACTATTGATCACTGAATAAAATAAGACTTCATGTTGCATTCAGTTGTTGCTAGATCTGATAATTAATACTCTTCTATTTACAAAAAAATCCTCTTTAAAATTCACCTTTGACAGTGTTGCATTTTCTTAAAATACCAATAGAAACTTTTTAATTTCACATTATTAATTGTGCTTGGTACAAAATATGCAAGTTAAGAACTCTCAAGTTTGACTTCATAGCAGTTGTACTCCGGGGTAGGGGTAGGGGATCTGGGAATTGGGTTCAGGGGGTATTTACAATGGGTACGACTCGTGTCATGTGATCTGGTGCGGCGCTTCGAGCATTTCCATGAGGAAGGTGTCTATGGGCGTGTCCCCTATCAGCTTGAAGAAGAAGAGGTGCTCCAGACACTTGAGGCCGATGGAGCGCAGTGCAGGCAGACGCAGCAACAGCTTGGCAAATCTGACCGGGAGAGGAGAGAAAAGAGAGAAGGGAGGGTTGATTACTCTAGTCTGGGGTGTCATTTTAGAGCTTATTCATGATTTTTAATGGTACACACAAACCATAAAGATGAATTATGACATATCATCTTAAAGTCTTAAAGTGGAGAAGGAATATGAAGAAATTAGAGCCTCTGTCTAGTTACCTGAGGGGAGAACGGCTCATTATAATGGCCTGAACGGAGCAAATGTAATGGCATCAAACACCTGAATACCATGTGTTTGATCTATTTGATACCATTCCACTTATTCCGCTCCAGTCATTACCACGAGCCCGTTCTCCCCAATTAAGGTGCCACAAACCTCCTGTGCTTTCAACAGCTACAGGATCATAGGAGTGAGACACGTGAGACTGTTGAATGACTGGACATTAGTGTGTATGATAGAGTGTGAAACGAACAGAGACTAAAATAAGCTGACATCGTGTGAGACTGAGGGCTAGTGTGACAGTGTTAGACTGACCTGCCAGGCTGATCTGGGTATCTGTGTTTAGTGTAGGACTCCAGTGAGGCGTACACCTTTTCTCTCAGGGCCTCCACCTCTGTAGGATTAGACAGGCCCTTGGCATCTGGAAGCAAAGAACATTCATAGACAGGAACTTACTCTTGTGTACACAGTCTATGTAAAATACTGTATATATTCCTGCAGCATGTTTGTAATGTGTTTGTAATAAATGTTGGCTGGTGACTTAGAAAGTTGAAATTATGTTGAAAAAACGAACTGGCTTATTGGATGACAATCTTTAATGCTCAAATGAATGAGGATGACCATCCTCCTCTTCAGTTACCTGGGTTGAAGAGGACGATGGCTCTGAGGCAGCCCAGCTCAGTCTTGTCCATCTGCATGTCTTTCATCTTAGACACCAGCTCCGTCAGCACTCTGGAGGCCACAACACAGCAAGAAAAGACCATGTCATCAGGAAAAAACACGGTAACACTTTATTTGGTCAATCCATCTATAGACACTCAACAAACTATCAATATAGACATTTCTACTGCTGTAGAAATACCAGGGCTACATTTACATTTTAGTCATGTAGCAGACACGTTTATCCAGAGCGACTTACAGTTAGTGAATACATATTTTTTTTATTTTTTTTTTATACTGGCCCCCCATGGGAATCGAACCCACAACCCTGCCGTTGCAAACGCCATGCTCTATCAACTGAGCTACATCCCTGCCAGCCATTCCCTCCCCTACCCTGGGCCAATTGTGTGCCGCCCCATGGGTCTCCCGGTCGCGGCCGGCTGCGACAGAGCCTGGATTTGAACCAGGATCTCTAGTGGCACAGTTAGCACTGCGATGCAGTGCCTTAGACCACTGCGCCACTCAGGAGTACATTTCTAACTGTGTTACAGAAGATAAAGGTATAGTGTTGGCTATGCATTACAGTCTATTGTATCCATATTCCAAAGGTCAAGGAGTAATACTGTTGACAAAGGTATTTTTCTCAGACCTGTCAAAGATGGAGCCCACTCCTGCGCTGTGGGCGCTGCTGCGGTGGACGTGGAGGCCCGTAGCCAGGAGGATCCCATCCTTCACTGTCACAGAGCGATGGGAGAACGAGGCGATGAGCAGCTCATTCCAGCCTGACAGAGAGAGAGACAAATACACTGTGGTTAACTGGTGAGTTTAACTTGGATTGTGACTAGAACAACCTACTTGTCCAGAGGGGTGAGTGTGTGTATGTGTAATAGTGTCAATGGGTGTAGATGCTAATGAAACAGCTCTGTGCAAACATATACTGTACTGTTCTACCACCACAAGTAAAGCACTATGGTAAGTGAACATGCATGGTGACCTGGTGTGTGAGCTGTAGCCTACCTGCTCGTAATAAGATGACCTGGTCGTCCAGGGGTAGCTCAGAGAAGTGGGGGATCCTTTTGGCCCACTCCACCAGGGTGAATAGCTGCTTGTCTGCTGCCTGGCAGATGTTGGTGACCGGGTCGTTCGTCTGTCAGACAGACAGAGACACACATGTAACATTCAGTAATCGGCTATGAAAGAGGAAACTGAGTATAGATGGAACAAATGAAGGATTTGATTCCAAAAGGCGATAAACGCCAATTTTTCACATTTGAATTTTGTCATCTGAAATGAATGCTCATGGTACCCTTTCTAAGTGTATGAATTATGGCTGTTCTTTTAAAACATGTACTTTATATGTGCTTTAGAATATGTTTTTTTGCTAAGCGACATATCCAACACACTTGTTTCATACCAAAAAGCACTATATCCAGAGCCACGTGTTTAAAGAGTTGACATTGAGGTTTCTGTATTATGATGCATTTACATGACACTACAACATTCTATGGCAGCCATGTTAGCTCCCGTTAATAATAGAATTAGGAATTGGAATACTAGAATGGTCATGTGGTCAGGGAGTTAGTCAACCAACCATGGTTTGCCAGTGCTGTGATAAAATATTGTGTGAAATAATGAATTTGAAGAATTTATCTGCACTATGTTTGTTAGCTAGCTAGCCAGCCAGTTATAGAGGAATGATTACATACATTTTTCAAATTAACTGCCAATATGCAGTGAATACACAGCCATACACTCGCTGAAATCAGTTTATGATAGGACTTAGACAAGTTGTAAATGCAAGTACTGATATTGTGTCATATAATAGCACTCGCAGCTTTCCAATAAAACAAAAATGTAGAAATCTATGGTCTGTTTACATGTAAAAAAATATATACAAAAATGTATAAAACCTGTATAAACTGTATAGATAAATAAAATATTATATATTAATATAAATATTTTAGATTGACAATAATTATATTACACAATTTCTGATACAGTGGGGGAAAAAAGTATTTAGTCAGCCACCAATTGTGCAAGTTCTCCCACTTAAAAAGATGATAGAGGCCTGTAATTTTCATCATAGGTACACGTCAAATATGACAGACAAAATGAGGGAAAAAATCCAGAAAATCACATTGTAGGATTTTTAATGAATTTATTTGCAAATTATGGTGGAAAATAAGTATTTGGTCAACTACAAACAAGCAAGATTTCTGGCTCTCACAGACCTGTAACTTCTTCTTTAAGAGGCTCCTCTGTCCTCCACTCGTTACCTGTATTAATGGCACCTGTTTGAACTTGTTATCAGTATAAAAGACACCTGTCCACAACCTCAAACAGTCACAGTCCAAACTCCACTATGGCCAAGACCAAAGAGCTGTCAAAGGACACCAGAAACAAAATTGTAGACCTGCACCAGGCTGGGAAGACTGAATCTGCAATAGGTAAGCAGCTTGGTTTGAAGAAATCAACTGTGGGAGCAATTATTAGGAAATGGAAGACATACAAGACCACTGATAATCTCCCTCGATCTGGGGCTCTACGCAAGATCTCACCCTGTGGGGTCAAAATGATCACAAGAACGGTGAGCAAAAATCCCAGAACCACACGGGGGGACCTAGTGAATGACCTGCAGAGAGCTGGGACCAAAGTAACAAAGCCTACCATCAGTAACACACTACGCCGCCAGGGACTCAAATCCTGCAGTGCCAGACGTGTCCCCCTGCTTAAGCCAGTACATGTCCAGGCCCGTCTGAAGTTTGCTAGAGTGCATTTGGATGATCCAGAAGAGGATTGGGAGAATGTCATATGGTCAGATGAAACCAAAATATAACTTTTTGGTAAAAACTCAACTCGTCGTGTTTGGAGGACAAAGAATGCTGAGTTGCATCCAAAGAACACAATACCTACTGTGAAGCATGGGGGTGGAAACATCATGCTTTGGGGCTGTTTTTCTGCAAAGGGACCAGGACGACTGATCCGTGTAAAGGAAAGAATGAATGGGGCCATGTATCGTGAGATTTTGAGTGAAAACCTCCTTCCATCAACAAGGGCATTGAAGATGAAACGTGGCTGGGTCTTTCAGCATGACAATGATCCCAAACACACCGCCCGGGCAACGAAGGTGTGGCTTCGTAAGAAGCATTTCAAGGTCCTGGAGTGGCCTAGCCAGTCTCCAGATCTCAACCCCATAGAAAATCTTTGGAGGGAGTTGAAAGTCCGTGTTGCCCAGCGACAGCCCCAAAACATCACTGCTCTAGAGGAGATCTGCATGGAGGAATGGGCCAAAATACCAGCAACAGTGTGTGAAAACCTTGTGAAGACTTACAGAAAACGTTTGACCTGTGTCATTGCCAACAAAGGGTATATAACAAAGTATTGAGAAACTTTTGTTATTGACCAAATACTTATTTTCCACCATAATTTGCAAATAAATTCATTAAAAATCCTACAATGTGATTTTCTGGAGAAAAAAAATCTCATTTTGTCTGTCATAGTTGACGTGTACCTATGATGAAAATTACAGGCCTCTCTCATCTTTTTAAGTGGGAGAACTTGCACAATTGGTGGCTGACTAAATACTTTTTTTCCCCACTGTACATCACGTCTTACCTTTATTGTCCTGCATAAGTAAAATCAGGATTATGCCTCTACTGTCATTCATTCCAATTAGACTGGTTTGGATTTTTCCCTGACCAATATGGCTGCCTTTTTCACTGCATTCTGGAACTTTGAGGGTTTATGACAGAACCCCTCTAGTACTGAGCATTATGTTGCATTTATACATTTCTACAGCAGCCATGTTAGCACCTCATTAACATTACATGGGGATTATATATTTTATTAAAGCAATGTAACTGAATATCTAGAATTAGAACAATATTCAACATTCTAAAAGTTGGCCCACCTCTTTATATACTGAGCATACAAAACATTAGGAACAACTTTCTAATATTGAGTTGCACCCCCTTTGGCCAATGTTGACTGCAATGCCTCCCACAGTTGTGTCAAGTAGGGGCAGCAGGTAGCTTAGTGGTTAAGAGTGTTGTGCCAGTAACCGAAAGGTCGCTGGTTCGAATCCCCGAGCCAACTATGTGAAAAATCTGTCGATGTGCCCTTGAGCAAGGCACTTAACCCTAATTGCTCCTGTAAGTCGCTCTGGATAAGAGCGTCTATTAAAATGTAAGTTGTCTGGATGTCATTTTGGGTGGTGGACCATTCTTGATAAACATGGGAAACTGTTGAGCGTGAAAACCCCAGTAGCGTTGCAGATCTTGACACACTCATATTGGTGCGCATGGCACTTACTACCATGCCCCGTTCAAAGGCACTTAAATATTTTGCCTTGCCCCTTCATGCTCTGAATGGCACACATACACAATCCATGTCTCAATTGTCACAAGGCTTAAAAATCCTTCTTTAACCTTTCTCCTCCCCTTCATCTACACTGATTGAAGTGGATTGAATAGGTGACATCAATAAGGGATCATAGCTTTGAGCTGGATTCACCTGCTCAGTCTATGTCATGGAAAGAGCAGGTGTTCCTAATGTTTTGTACACTCAGTATATGGCTCTGGCTATATCCACTGTCCAGATGGATTTCAACGTTCCATATCGTTTTTGTCGCTGGCGCAAAAGTGAGTCATTTAGCAAATAATTATATTTACCTGTTCAGTCTTAAGTTAGGTTTCTCTAAATATTTTTTCCACACTTTGGAACGTAATCAGAACCTTGGATTATTAATTTAGGCTAACCCCTGGTTTAGTCAGCCAGATGTGGTGATAGACAGCTGTCACTCCCAGCTGTTCGGTCACTGGCTACCTAGTGTTACGTTAGCTTTGAGCTCTTGAGTGTCGTGGACCTTTTGGTTATGGATCCCTTTGGAGCCTGTGATATCTGTTTCTGTTGGCCCGAAGAGGACACTTTCTAAACAAGCTCATGAAAAAGAGAGCCAAGATCCAGCGAGAGTAAACAATAATAAGCTACTGGCTGCAAACATACGGAGGCTGCAAACAGCGGGCTGTGTCACTCCGACAATAAGAATCAATCCATCCTTAACCGGCAAATTCATTGCGACAATGTCATTATTCCTTAAATGTCCAAAAAGAAAACACACATTGTATACACTGTCACCCTCTGGATACAATAAATTGGCTATTTGATTTTTGCACAATATAGTTGAAACGAATTGATTATTTTGATATTTATTTATGTATCGATACTTTATTACATGTAACTGTTAAAAACCCAATCAGTATCTTTTTCTATTGGAGTTCTGTTGTTTGGGGGGGATATATAGCGTTTTGACCACAAAACATCGTTATTTGTTTCTCAAAAATAAAATTACCTTGCAATACATTTCAAACCAAAGTCTTTTCACTAGCCCCTGTCATGGTAAGATGAAAAAATAATAGCCTTTATCTCTTCCACAAGATGTGTTTTTAATTCATGAATTTACCAACATTCTGAAAATGGATATATCGTGTTTTGGAATGAAACTCTTCAAATAGTCACGTGTCGAGTAACCACAAGCATTTAGAACATTTAATACGATTTGACTTATATTGGAGGTCTGTCCACAGACACACAAAGACACAGAGACAGAGAGAGAGAGAAATAGAGAGAGAGTGGGGAGAGAGAGACAGACAGAGCTTTGCTTACAGAGTTGCCTGCGCTGGCCTCCATGTAAGCGTCAGTCTTGGGTTCGATGGCCAACTCCGCGTCCAATATCTTCTCGACCGGCATGTCCCCGTTGAAACTACTGGTTGACTCCACCTCGTTATCACTTTTGTCCCGGCCCCGCTGACGCTCCTCCTGCACCGCTGCACAGAGAAATACACACACACACAGGGGACTTATATACACTAATACAGTACACACACACACCTGCATGCATGCATAGAGAAACACACACGCATGTACGCAGGGGAGTCCAACACACACACACACCTTCTCTCTTCATGCCCATGGCCAGACACTTCTGGTAGCGGCAGTATTGGCAGCGGTTGCGTTGGCGCTTATCGATCAGGCACTCCTTGCTGTCTCGACACGTGTAGGTGAGGTCCTTCCTGATGGTTCTCTTGAAGAAGCCTTTACAGCCTTCACAGCTGTACACGGCATAGTGTTTCCCTGGAAGAAAGAAACAGGAAATAGAATGATTATCTTGATCAGATCACCTCCTTCTGTACATGAGCTGCTGTTGTGGGGTGGTATTCACTGTTGGTGTGGTTTGGTATGCTTAGTTGAGGAGCTTTATAAACTGGGTGGTTCGAGCCCTGAATGATGAATCGCTGAAAGCCGTGGTATATACCACGGGTATGACAAAACATTTATTTTTACTGCTCTAATTATGTTGGTAACCAGTTTATAACAGCAATAAGGCACCTCTGGGGTTTGTGGTATATTTCCAATATACCACGGCTAAAGGCTGTATCCAGGCACTCCGCATTGTGTCGTGCATAAGAACATGGCCGTGGTATATTAGCCATGGTGCGGTCTGCCCAACACATCACCGGGGGCAAACTACCTGCCCTCCAGGACACCTACAGCACCCGATATCACAGGAAGGCCAAAAAGATAATCAAGGACAATAACCACCCGAGCCACTGCCTGTTCACCACGCTATCATCCAGAAGGCGAGGTCAGTACAGGTGCATCAAAGCTGGGACCGAGAGACTGAAAAACAGCTTCTATCTCAAGACCATCAGACTGTTAAATAGCCATCACTAGGCGGCTTCCACCCGGTTACGTAACCCTGCACCTTAGAGGCTGCTTCCCTATATACATAGACATGGAATCACTGGCCACTTTAATAATGTTTACATGCTGCTTTACTCATCTCATATGTATATACTGTATTCTATTCTACTGTATTTTAGTCTATGCCACTCCGACATTGCTCGTCCTAAAATGTATATATTTCTTAATTCCATTCTTTTACTTTTAGATTTGTGTGTATTGTTGTTAGATATTACTGCACTGTTGGAGCTGGAAACACAAGCATTTCGCTATACCCGCAATAACATCTGCTAAATATGTGTGTGACCAATAAAGTTTGATTTGATTTGATATACCACACCCCCTCGTGCCTTATTGCTTAAATATACTCTCTGGTGTTAGTGAGTGGAAATAATATATTGTAGAATTTCTCGCGGAAATGTTCGTTTGGCTTAGTTATCCTTTAGGTACAGTATGTTGATGAAGGGGGTATGGTATACTAGTAGTAGGGACAGAGTTTATTCCTTAACATGCAACCTGTCAAGGGAAAAACTCTGCTACCCAGCTCGAGAGCTTGGGACTATGAGGTTCTATCTACATTTCTGTCAAAATGGAATTATTGACATACCCTTGTTCCGTTCAATGTTCTCTACCTGTATAGTACTCTAAATACCCCAATTCATGTTGGTAAGTTCAAAAGAATACAACATAAAAATTGCTGACACATTCAAACCAATGAGGGTTTGGAACTTTAAAGCCAATTATCTCAGAATCATCTTTTTGCAGATAGAACCTTATAGTTCCAAGCTCTCATAGTATTATTGTCTAGTCTTGGGCTATAATGTAGTCTGGTGTTTTACCTGAAGATCGGTCCCCACAGATGGCACAGACATGCTTGGACATGGACCCTGGGCTCATGCAGCCGTAGCTGTTCATGTGACCCAGTCCAGCCAGGCCTGGAGGAGGCTTGATGTCCTCACTGCTGCTCACACTGTTCAGAGAGTTTATCTACAGAGAGCAGCAGACAGAGAGGGGGTTAATGGTGTATGTGTGTGTGTGTGTGTGTGTGTGTGTGTGTGTGTGTGTGTGTGTGGGTATGGGGTGTGTGTGTAAATCTCACACACACAAACGCACACAAACACAGCCTCACTTTTGCCAAACTGCCCACTGTGTCACAAAGATCAAAATTCACCGACTTCCATTTTTGCTGAAGACAGAACCCAGCACCTCAAGTTCAGCAAAGATCACAGTGAGTGATATATCATGATGGTCTTTTGTATACTGTATGCATTAGCTATACAGCATAAAGTCAGTGCCTCCCTCAGTGTGTGTGTGTGTGTATGTGTGCTTGTATTCATTCCTATCTATGTGCATACCTCCCTATCTCATGCTCCACTTCCTACCTCCCTTAAAACCTTATATGAAGTGTTTTCCTTTGTCATGTCATGTGACCTGTTCTTTATCCAGGTAAGGAAGTAGCAGTTTATTTTTGATTGTTTACTCTCTCTACACAGTCCTTAATCTGATTTAATGCCCATAGTAAACCATTTACAGAAGGCCCCCAAGGAAGGGCACCAAATGATAACTGTAAGGCTAATATAATTCATATCAGATAGAATTCTAACTAAGTTGAATACACACTCAATTGAACTTTGTTACATGCAATTCCAAAGGAGAGCAGTAGAGGGAGGTAGTTGGTCATTAAGTAAACTTTATAAACTACTCTGGGCTGAAGGAACGCTTCACTACCAGACCTGGATTCATAAAGTATTTGTGTTCCTTCAAATACTTTTGAGTTTGATTGAGCCTGTCTAGAGTACAAGAGAGGCGGGGTTTACACTTTAAGGACTATTGCATTGGTTCCAATGTGCCAGGCAAGCTCAATCAAGCACATCTACAGTATAATAAATAGAACAAATACTATTTGAACCCAGGTCTGATCATTATGAACCACACAATGAATTAAAAAGTTATGAGAACATCCTCCTAATAATGCATTATCCTGATAGTGAGGGTAAGTCATGCATATAGTAAGTATGTGCTGTAATATATAGGCATCTTGTGTACACAAACACGCTCTCACACAAACAGGTTAAGGGACTATTGCCCTTGGAGTGAGACCAGTCTGGGTCTAGTATGTTTGGGTAGTGATGCGGCTCCCTGCCCTCTAGTCGACCTGCCGCTGTACTGTACTGTAGACTAGAAAGGACAGGGCCGGGTCAATACACACACACACACATACAAATGTGCAAGGACGCACAAACACACATACATACACATAGGTAACATATGCACGGGCAGCACCCTCAGCACCTCTACTTCCCGTGGCTATGACTACACGGTGTCGAAAAGCGTTCCACAGGGATGCTGGCCCATGTTGACTGACTCCAATGCTTCCCACAGTTGTGTCAAGTTGGCTGGATGTCCTTTGGGTGGTGGACCATTCTTGATACACACGGGAAACTGTTGAGTGTGAAAAACCCAGCAGCATTGCAGTTAAATATTTTGTCTTGCCCATTCATCCTCTGAATGGTACACATACACAATCCATGTCTCAATTGTCTCAAGGCTTAAAAATCATTATTTAACCTGTCTCCTGTCCTTCATCTACACTGATTGAAGTGGATTTAACAAGTGACATCAATAAGGGATCATAGCTTTCACCTGGATTCACCTGGTCAGTCTACAGTATGTCATGGAAAGAGCAGGTGTTCCTAATGTTTTGTCCACTCAGTGTATATAGTTTTATAGATTTATGTTCTTTATTCAGTGGCCTTGTGGTTAGAATGTCCGCCCTGAGATTGGAAGGTTTGAGTTCAGTCTCTGGCCGAGTCATACCAAAGACTGTAAAAATGGGACCCAATGTGTCTCTGCTTGGCACTCAGCATTAAGGAGATAGATTGGGGGTAAGGCCCTGCGATAGACTAGTGTCCTCTTCACGAGGTGTACTTGTACATCAAGCTGCCTGACACTATAGAAACAGGAGATAGGCTTCTGCTCCTATGAGCCATTCCGGCTCGCACAAGCCAAGGCTCATGCAAGGCGACTTACTTTTACTTTTTACTTACTTATTTGGATAGTCCATCAGTAACATTTCAACTAACTATCTACTAACCCTAACCCTAGCTCTAACCCTAAACTTAACCCTTACCCTTACCCCAGTGGTGGACTTACCATTAGGCAAAAGAGGCAACTCCCTCAGGCTTTGCATCATCAAGGGGCCTCATGAGCTGGGCATAAAAAATAAAAATAAAAATAAACTCCCCCATGCTCTGCTCGAGGCATTATTTCATGCGATATGATTTATAATATAATATGCCATTTAGCAGACGCTTTTATCCAAAGCGACTTACAGTCATGCGTGCATACATTTTTGTGTATGGCTGGTCCCGGGGATCGAACCCACTACCTTGGCGTTACAAGCGCCGTGCTCTACCAGCTGAGCTACAGAGGACCACCCATACACAAACATGACTTTCATTGAAAGTAAGCTGCAGCAAAAACACTCAGAAGAGCAGAGAAAAGAAAAAGAAAGGAAGAAGAATACATTTGAACAGAAACATGACCTAAGTTAACACATTTATTTAGTAAAAAGACAGGTGCCACTGCTAATACTGCTATCATCGTCGAGGCAGAGGACACGACGACGAGACAGGCCCAGGCCTAGCTAGCACTTCAACAACCACTAGCATTAGCCTAGCTAGCACTTCAACAACCACTAGCATTAGCCTAGCTAGCACTTCAACAACCACTAGCATTAGGCTCCCGAGTGGCGCAGCGGTCTAAGGCACTGCATCTCAGTGCTTGAGGTGTCACTACAGACCCCCTGGTTTGATTCCAGGCTGTATCACAACCGGCTGTGATTGGGAGTCCCATAGAGCGGCGCACAATTGGCCCAGCGTCGTCCGGGTTTGGCCGGTGTAGGCCGTCATTGTAAATAAGAATGTGTTCTTAACTGACTTGCCTAGTTAAATACAAAAATTTAAAAAGCCTAGCTAGCACTTCAACAACCACTAGAATTAGCCTAGCTAGCACTTCAACCAGTAGCATTACTGCCTCTGCTGCTGTTGGTGGGCTCATCATCATCAGTACTAGCAGCAGCGCAGCGAACCAGAGTGAGAGCTCGGAGAGGAAGATGCAAATCATTCAGATTCAGAGCCTGATTCACCCCCAGCCCTTGCTCTTCCAGAGTCACAAAAAGATCAGCACGTGGACCTACTACAGAACGTGAGTGTGTGTTTAAGTGATGATGTAGCATTGTGGTCGGAGGCGCTGTCTGACAAACAGAGGTGTGATCTTGTCAAAAAGGGGCCACAACAGATCAGAGATATTGTATTCCCTCAAAGTCGGGACCCAGTCTCTCTAAGATTGAAAACAATCACAACCATTGATGCAATCAACCAGACTGGCGGCGAGGTGGATCGCATCCTGACAAAGCCCCTGGGAAGAAGTGCTAGCTTGGTTGCTCTGGGTGTTGCCTACTTCAAAGGTACTAGAGGGCTGGGGTTCAAGTCCTTATTTCATCTCTTGAAGTTATTTTCACCTATCAGCGCTTATTTACGTTTGTGTGTGTGTGGATAGATGAATAACTCAGTTCAATCAAAGTAGAGGGATGGAGTACTTCCAGCTAGATGGGGAGGCACTCACCCATATTGCCATGATGACCCAGGACCATTACTCAGTGAAATTGGGCATCAACTCAGACCTGGGCTGCACAGCAAGTACACAGTTCATTTGTTCTCACAGCCTGGTATAAAAAGTAAAAAATACTCCTTATTGTTCATAAACATATTTTCCAATTGATCTCCCCTTCTCCATTTTCTCCCTGTCTCTTTCTCCTTCCCTCTCTCTCTCTCTCTGCAGATTGTTCAGATGCAGGATGATGTCAGTATGTTTGTGTTCATCTCTGATGAGGTCACTGCCAACATGACCCTGGTGGAGGAGAGCCTGACAGCCAAGTTTGTCCAGGACCTCTCCATGACCCTTCAGCCTGTGAAGGTGGCCCTCAAACTTATTTCCAAGAGTTCAGCTACTCCACTGACTTGCTGCCTCTGCTCACTGACCAGGGTGAGTACTCATTCATCCCACTTCATCCGGTCTTTGAATTGTTGTCTCCCTCCTCCACTCATTACATTACATTTTAGTCATTTAGCAGACGCTCTACCGTGCTCTTCTCAACCCTTAGGACCAATAAAACAAAAAACTTTAGGATTAAAGTAAAATAACTATTATAATAAAAAAGTTTTAAGGATGTGTAACTTCTTGTCGACTATCTGGTCTGTCTTCTACATTCTTTGATGGCAGGAGTGCATCTATCTCTCTCTTATCTCTCTCTGTATTTTACATTTTAGTTAAATGCCTTGCTCAAGTGCACAAAGTCAGATTTATTTTCACCTAGTCAGTTCGGGAATTCAAACCAGCGACCTTTCGGTTACTGGCCCAACGCTCTTAACCGCTAGTCTGTCTACCTGCCTCTCTCTCTCTCTCTCTCTCTCTCTCTCTCTCTCTCTCTCTCTCTCTCTCTCTCTCTCTCTCTCTCTCTCTCTCTCTCTCTCTCTCTCTCTCTCTCTCTCTCTCTCTCTCTCTCTCTCTATATATATATGTGTGTGTCTCTCTCTCTGTGTCTCTCTCTCTGTATCTCTCTCTCTGTATCTCTCAACTTTAGAGTAAAGTAAATTAACTATAATCAAAAAAATTATGAGGGAAGATAATAAGTGTAAGGTGTATATAAGGGGTAAATATCAGAAGTGGAGGGAATAATCTCCGTTTTAAATTACATGACTGGCTCCAAATCACTGTCTAACCTTAACCCTTAACGCAATTTTTTTTGGTTGATCCAAAGAGTCATTTTTTACATTTTGTTGCTTGGCTCACTGAATGTGCCGGGCAATGAACTAAAATGTAAACATTCTGTCTACTTCCTTTACACCAAAAGGAGCTGCACTATTAGTGGATCTGAATCTATTGCATATGTGACCCTATTTGTTTAAAGAAAAAAATGCCCTGATGGCACAGCTTTCAAAAGGATTACGTCTGTTTGTGTTCTTTTTTTTGCTATCTAGCTAGCCTACGGAGACTTTATCTTAGCTTAGCATTGCTGGGGCAATGATATCTCCCTCTGACTCACTAGCCATCACGCCTCGTTAGCTTTGCTCAGTTAGCTCCGAGCGGGACAGCCAAATACAAATCGGCTCATCCCCTCTAGGTCAAGCAGAGGCCCAGCCAGTGGTACAGGCAGAGACAGGGCACAAAATAGTCCGAAAAGCGACACAGGAGTCTAGATTCTACTTAATACAGGACAGATTTTTTTTATATACACTTTTAAATTGACAATCGTAAGTGGACATGGACAAGAGTATTCTATTCTCCTCACTTTTTTATCAATTTGGGACTTCGACTCCGAGTAAGTGCAAGCGCTGTCTCACTAACTGAGTGAGGACCAGTGAAGTGAGCAGCAGAATAGAATGAGATTGTATTTCTACGGCAGCAGCAGCCTCTGACTCAGTTGTAGTCTGTGGACATGAATGAGTCTGGGTCAGGCTAGCCTTGCATACCAGCCTTCTATATTCTGTTAGAAGGACGCAGAGCGAACACTAAAATACAATAACTGAGACTACTTTAATATTAGGTCTAGGTATACAGTGCTGGGAAGGTTAGTTACTGTAGTTGGATGAAGGAGAGTAGTCAAGCCTAAGACATTGAGAGACTCATATGAGTGATCAAAATGTATCTGCTGCAGTAGTTCCTAAGCTACAATACTTTGGTGCATTGACTCGCCTATTGTAAAGCCTCTTATATGTTCAGTGTGTTTGTGTTTAGCAAGTAACCAAGAAGGCCTTAATGTGCGCCAAGCAGAAAATCACCCAGCTCAACAGTGAGTCACATAGCTGTTTAAATGCACATATATCATGTATATAATATTTTTCATATATATCATATTTTGGCACATATTTGTCAAATTATGCTACACTATGACTTTGATATAGTATTGTATGCATCTCCTTATGTAAGACATTCATTAGTGTCTTTCTCCTCAAACACAGCTGTGTGTGTATGTGTGTGAGAAAGAGAGACAGTTTGTGGTATCCCAGTTGGAGCTTTATGCAAGTGTGTGTGTATGCCTTCGTCTGTATGTGTGTGAATACGTTGACCCTTACCTGTGGGCTGGAGAGCGTGCTGAAGCCGATGGTGGGCGTGTGGGGCATGGAGACACCTGGCGAGCCCAGAGAGGATGACGTGATGACGGAGTACGGCGAGCCGCACAGCCCATTGAACGGCGAGCCCAGGGTGCTTATGGGGGATGGGCGAGGCCGCTCAGGGTTGACGGCTGCGCTGATGACGGAGGGGTGGTGATGGTGATGGGGGTGGTGGTGAGGGTGAGGGGGGCCAACCATGATGCTAAGGGGCTGTGAGGGGGTGGAGCTCAGGTGGGAGACCTGCACAGAAGAATCTGTAATCAGAGCAGAAAACAGCCAATCAGAGAGGAGAAGAAGGGAGTTAGGGGACACGCCAACCAATAAGAGCACAGAACAGAACCCAGCTCAGCCATAGTTCGATATAGGACACTCGTTTTCAGCCCATTTGACATTCTAGTGTACATAGGGGTAGGATCAATAGGGTTTAGGATTTTGCAGCTAGAAATGTACATTGTAGAATAGACACTGCAATCATTTCCACATTACAATAAATTGTTCATGACTGTTCTATAAATCATATTTCTATAAGCGCCTGGTTAAGAGACAGTGGGATGAGTAATCAGACATTTACATTTACGTCATTTAGCAGACGCTCTTATCCAGAGCGATTTACAAATTGGTGCATTCACCCTATAACCAGTGGGATAACCACTTTACAATTTATTTATTTTATTTTATTTATTTTTTTTTAAGAGGGGGGGGGGGGGGGGGGGGGGTAGAAGGATTACTTTATCCTATCCCAGGTATTCCTTAAAGAGGTGGACCAGAGCACAATGAATTAGGACATTACAACTAACTAGTCCTATTTGTATGTCGCTCTGGATAAGAGCATCTGCTAAATGACGTAAATGTAAATGTAGACCCACATAAGCAACCTTTCACACCAAAACGAGGTGCCTGAGTGGTTGAGTGACAGCCAGGGGTCCAAAATGTTCATCTCTCCATTTAATCTTATCACTAATTCAGCTGTTAATGCACTGTGATGTAACCTGATGTAGCTGGTCGCCTGGGGGTCAGTGCATGGTGAAAGCCTGCATAAGGTACTTCTAATCATCACCAGAATAGCCTTAAAAAGGTCAGTGCAGAGACAGGCTACACTGATCTGATCATTCATAAGAGATTTCTAAGGTCATACGAGCCCTGCATATTCTCATTATGCATCAACATGAGGAAATGTTAGGGGGATGTTACAGGGATGCTAGTGGGAAGTTAGTGCAGCATAGGGCTGTGGCGGTCATGAAATGTTGTCAGCCGGTGATTGTCAGGCAAATGACTGCCAGTCTCATGGTAATTGACGAATCATTAACATAAACACATTTAGCATCTCCTGTCTTCCACGCATAGCCTACAAGCCACTGATGCAGACCTTGGGAACATTTTTAAAAAGTCAATTAAATCCATGTAATATAGCCTAGACCATCACAATAAATCCATGATATGAAGAAAATCTAGTCTATTTCAGAAGAACATATTAGCATACTCTGAGTTGTCCTTATGTTAGGTCCTGATGTGGCTATGCCATATAGCTGTGGGCTACACTAGTTCATTTAGCAGACAAGATTTGCTTAGAATTCCGTAGCATTATTTTATATTATTTTATAGTATGAAGAATACAACTGAACAGAGCTGAATAAAATAGAAAGGATATTTTCTCCAAACAATGAGGAAGTGCGCACATGCGGCTATTCTGTGTTGAGCGGTTAACAAAGAAACAGGTACTCCTGTATGCTTAATTTAGAGTTATTTATGTAACTTTAGTTGTGATACGAATGTTGGGCTATATGTTTTGATTTTTAATACATTCTAAGGCTGCATGATGCAACTCAAATGATGATTTGAAAAAAGTCACATGAAAGGCATGAGCTCTGCTTTGTTCTTTTGCGCAGGCTGTACCCATTTCATCAGTCTCTCATTCACAATTTGACAAGCACTTGATAATGCCAATGTGCCCTTGGGCTGAATATAATAATTATATAAGCACCTCTCACTCACATGGCTCTCCATCACGTGATCGGGTCTTTCTCACAGGCTAAAAGTGAAGACAGACACATCGGGGACGCAACTGCACGCATCCTTATCCAATTCCGAGGCGCATATTGAAGTTATTGGAAGAACTGTCCACGTTTACTTTTCGTCAGCCAACAAGATGAGTAGGCCTAACAAACAGCAAAAGCACTAGCCTATGTCAATCTACTATCCCCCATAATACAAAAGTTTACCTATTCTATTCTGTGCGAGAAATAAATATTCCAAACATAGTCCGGGACAGTTGTGGGATGCGATAGATCCCAAATTAATACAACCACTATCATCAAAAAACCTGTTTTAAGCAATGAGCTTGACGCAACAGATGAGAACGTTTAGCTTAAAATGTTGATAAACTATTAGGCTATTTCTTCACATTATAAGCGCAGTAATGCGCACACGGCAGTAGGCTATAAGCGCGAAGGGTTCCATTAGCAGGAAAACACCATTCTCAAAAGTGACCACAAATGCGATTATGCATGTAATGCTTTTATTATAAAGGTGCATTTTTAAGGTGAAAATTATCTTCCCCAAACTTGAAACTCACATGCTGCATATGTATGCCAGTTAGGCTCTACACCCCTTGTAAAGCAGATTAATGTGCTTAATTTTAAGAAGTTATTTGGCCACTTGTCACGATCGTCGGGAACAGAGGAGGACCAAGGCGCAGCGTTGCAGGCAAACATACTCTTTAATTAGAGACACGATCAAAACAACAAACGATACGTGACAGTTCACGGTCTAACATAAACAGACTTGAAACAAGATCCCACAAACACAAATGGGAAACAGACAGTTTAAATATGGCTCCCAATCAGAGACAACCAACGACAGCTGACACTCGTTGCCTCTGATTGGGAGCCACTCAGGCCAACATAGAAATACACATACTAGATAAACAAATGAAATGCACACCCTGGCTCAACATACAAGTGTCCCCAGAGCCAGGGCGTGATAGTACCCCCCCCTAAAGGCGCGGACTCCGACCGCGCCCACCAAACACCACAGGGGAGGGACCGGGTGGGCACTCCGCTTAGGCGGCGGATCCGGCTCCGGGCCTGATCCCCGCTCCGGGCCTGAACCCCGCTCCCTCTCCAACCCCCCAAAGTACCCCTGGTCCGGTCTGGCCCCGCTGGCCGGAGCTGGACTGCACACTGGTGGAGCGGATTGCTCTAGCTCCGGCGTGAAGCATCTGACCGGTGCCGGACCAGCCACCGGTGGAACAGGCACGGGCCGTGCCGGACTGACGACGCACACCACTGGCTTGGTGTGGGGAGCAGGAGCGGGCCGCGCCGGGCTGACGAAACGCACCACTGACTTGGTGCGGGGAGCAGGAGCGGGCCGGACCGGGCTGACGAAGCGCACCACTGACTTGGTGCGGGGAGCAGGAACGGGCCGAGCTGGGCTGATGAAACGCACCACTGACTTGGTGCGGGGAGCAGGAATGGGCCAGACCGGGCTGACGACGCGCACCACTGACTTGGTGCGGGGAGCAGGAACGGGCCGCGCCGGGCTGACGAAACGCACCACTGACTTGGTGCGGGGAGCAGGAGCGGGCCGGACCGGGCTGACGAAGCGCACCACTGACTTGGTGCGGGGAGCAGGAACGGGCCGAGCTGGGCTGACGAAGCGCACCACTGCCTTGGTGCAGGGAGCAGGAACGGGCCGTGCCGGGCTGACGAAGCGCACCACTGGCTTGGTGCGAGTGGCAGGAACAGGCCGGACCGTACTGGGAACACACACCACTGGCCCTACGTGGGGATCAGGAACAGGCCGGACCGGACTGGCAACACACGCCAGTACCTCTCGCCGTGCCTCTACATCCTCCTTCCCCCTGGTGACCAGTGACTCCCGTAACCTGGCGGCCTCCTACTGCCCCGTCGTCCACGGCGTTAGCCCCCCCCTAAAAAATGTATGGGCTTGTCTCTCCCCCGTGCTCATGGCCTCCATCCCTCTTGCCAGACTCTCACTCATCTCCTCCCAGGTCCATCCTCTCTCCTCGTCACGCTGCTTGATCCAGTCGAGGTGGGATCTTCTGTCACGATCGTCGGGAACAGAGGAGGACCAAGGCGCAGCATTGCAGGCAAACATACTCTTTAATTAGAGACACGATCAAAACAACAAACGATACGTGACAGTTCACGGTCTAACATAAACAGACTTGAAACAAGATCCCACAAACACAAATGGGAAACAGACAGTTTAAATATGGCTCCCAATCAGAGACAACCAACGACAGCTGACACTCGTTGCCTCTGATTGGGAGCCACTCAGGCCAACATAGAAATACACATACTAGATAAACAAATGAAATGCACACCCTGGCTCAACATACAAGTGTCCCCAGAGCCAGGGCGTGACACCACTTTAGTTGTGATACAAATCTTAGCAAAACATGGGCTAGGCTATATGGGCTAGGCTATGAGGTGTGCGACTATGATTAGAATATATATATATTTTTTAAGGCGCTGTTTCTTATGCTGGGCATCATTCACAAGTGATAATATATCATTCACAATTGATAGGCTAATATTGTCACCCATCACACTATTCTTGATTTAATCTTGTCTTTACATATACTACATAATATATGTGTGACTGTCACGATCGTCGTAGGGAATAGACCAAGGCGCAGCGTGATGAACGAACATGTTTAAACTTTTTTATCTTTAGTGATAATAGACAACAATAAACAAAACAAGAAACGACTCGTGAAGTCCACGGTAACAATGACCAACACGGAACAAAAACCCACAAACACAAAGGGAAAACAGACAGTTTAAATATGGCTCCCAATCAGAGACAACCAACGACAGCTGACACTCGTTGCCTCTGATTGGGAGTCACTCTAGCCAACATAGAAATAGAAGAACTAGAACCCCCAACATAGAAATATACCACATAGAATGAACACACCCTGGCTCAACATATAGAGTCCCAGAGCCAGGGTGTGACAGTACCCCCCCCTAAAGGCGCGGACTGCGACCGTGCCTCCACTAGAACAAAACAGGGGAGGGCTGGGTGGGCATTCCTCCTCGGCGGCGGTTCTGGCTCCGGCCTTGCCCACCACCCTCCAATAATCCCCCCATAGCGCCCCTGGTCCGGTCTGGCCCCGCTGGCTGGAGCTGAACTGGACGTAGCAGGAGCGGTTAGCTTCAGCTCCGTTGTGGAGCAGTTGAGCGGTACCTGATTAGGCACCGATGACCCAGGCACGAGTTGTGCCGGACTG